ACGCATTGAGAAACCTTTTGCGTTTGCATTTAAAATTTATTGTTTGCTCTGCAATAAAATTTCCATTTTTATTTAGCAATATGTTGTTTAAAGCTTCGTTGGAGTAGAAATTAAATATTAAGCAAGTATTTCTTAGACTTTTTTTGTTACTCACAATTGTCTTTCTCCCTTTTTCTTTATTCTTTTACTATGCGAACAGAATTCTCACTTTTAAAATTAAAAAAAAAAAAAAAAAAAAAAAAAAAAAAAAAAAAAAAAAAACAATTGACAGAAAGAATTCTGCCGGGAAAAAATTATATCTTAACACATATGTAAATAATGTTTACCGGACGCGAAATATACCTACTATGTACTATGCTTATATGCACATATACATAGGTATAGAGGTGAGGTGTACATTACGATTCGGTTAATATGTAAAATAATGGAATTATGATTTTTAAATTTGAAAGTTCAATCCCGGGTTTTGGATTTAACATAAGATATCTTATATTTACGTACTGCAGTCAGTTCTTGCACGCTTTTTAGTTTTTTGCGAAAATTAATATATATACTGTTAAAAGCTATTTCAGAGTTTTTCATACTAAATTTATTCGAAATGTGAAAGACGCTTGAGGATACTAGTATACTATAATTTTTCCTTGGTATTAACTTAATAACAACTAAAATATCTTGAACAACAGAATGAAATCAACTTTAATTAATTATGGAATCCGTAAGATTACTTCACCTTAGTTTAAACTTTCCGTGGCACACACGTTGGAGATTATTTCGATATAAACACATATTTTTTATATTTTAGTATTTAATATATTCTTGAATGATTTTAAGTAATTACAATAAGTTTTCATTTATATGTGTTCGCATATACATATATAGATGCATGTCTAAATGTTAATTTAATAATAAATGTTATAATTAATCCCTTGTTTAGAAAAAAATATATATCATCGCCTCATTGACTTCACGGTCACAGTTTGTCAAATGTTGATTTAGCTAATAATAAAATATATATTCGTAATTAAAGCCAAGTGCTTGATATTTTTTCTACCTTTCTGTCATTGTGATTTTTGTATATTGAATTTTTATTTTAGTTTTAGTTCACTAAAATTATGATTTTTTCGTTATCGATTTAATTTTTTCTTGCATTTTATGTATTCTTCCATATTGTTGATTGTTGGTACTTAAAATTAAATTTCGTTTTTTTTTTCGGATATATTCCACATACATATTTATATAATATACTCAATTGCTTGATACGTTAATATAAATTAAAGAGAGAGAAATAACGTAATGTTAACTTTAAGCTGTGTCATTTAAAATAATTGAAATCCCTCTTATTGCCAGATACTTCGTAAATGCCCAATAGCCAAGTAACCAATGGCTTGTCACATTTTTTGTTTTCATTTCAATGATATATTTTTGTACAACTAAGGCTTAACATAATATATTTAATTTAATACGTGTTTATATGTATGCGTAAGTGTGTGAAAATTAAATTCACAATAATTAAAAATATCGAAAACATTAAAATTTGAATGCAATAGCTACATAGTGATTTTTGTTTTATGAGATTTAACACAAGAGATTTCATCAAATGCTTCTAAACAGAACCCACATTTAAAAGTAATTCAACGGTTTAAGAAATTCCAGTAACATTGTTTAATTATTTAATACATGAATAAAAAAATTTTGGCACAATATGGTTCTGAAAATTACTACAACATTTTTCGAGCTTACAATTATGTAGGAAAAAAAAAATGAGAAAGCAATTATTTATTGGCAAACAAGAAATGTTATTAATATATTAAACTATTACTGTCATAACTGAACTCAACTCCTTCCTTACCTTATGGATTTTTTTTTTTTTTTTACTAAATATGAGAAGTTAATAAATATTTGAGTGGATTGGCTTGGTTTTTGTGTGCTTTGAGTACAAAGTTATTCGCTTAACATTTGATTGAGTTTTTAGTATGTGTATGTGTGTAAGTGAGCGAGTGTTTTTTTTTTTTTAAGATTATTCTGATCCGTGCAAATCATAAGAAACCGACAAATGAATTGACATTTAATTGATTAATATTGAAAATTGGTCATTATTGCTTTCAAAACTGCCCACTTTGTGTGTTTTCGAACTAATGCTACACTAACTCGAAGTTCATTGTTTGAAAATTTCATTCCATTATTTGGAGTTGACTTTTACCTACAAAGTAAATTTGTTTGTGTGTGTATCCACTACACAGGGAAGGTACTAATGCGGAGACATGTGACGCCGTGTTGTGGGAAACATTAAACGGAAGCTAATTTCCTCAGCGTCTGCATATCTAATAAACGTTTTTGTTTTCAACTATTGTACTATTGAAATATGAATTATACATTTCACTTAGTTATTAGACGTAACATCAAAATGTTATTGAGTTGATAAGGATAAGCTTAAATTATTCGGTATTCTTTGAGGCTTCGAGCACATTTTAAAGCTTTTACACAATCTTCCACCAGCAAGTAACAAACATTTATGTAAGCGAGTTTAAAGCTCTGCTTAAGAAAAGCGGCAAAATTCATTCAACACTAAAAATAATCAATATTATGGACACGTGATACTTTATCTAAATTGCTTAAAAGCATCCAGTTGAGTGCAATCAGCGAAAATAAGTAAATAAATTCTATTAGCAGAGTATTTTTCACTACGGACTGCAAATACCAACATTTTTTGGGTAATTTTCCTCTTTTTCTATGAATTGTATTAAGAAACTCGACAAAGTATTATATAAATTTTTATTCATCCACCAAATGATCTTCACTCATCTGGATTCTTTCCAAGGCATCCACGAGTAGAAGTTTAAAATGTGCACAAAATAATTTAGTTGAAACTGTACTCCGTTGCCTCTATCTATGTAGACGAATACGAATATTTAAGCTTAGTGAAATTATACTTATACATTTTCTATGTATAAACCTTAAGCTATATATTAAGTAATTCGCTTTATGTATATTGTATATATGTTTGTGTTACAATTTTGGTTTTAATTCAACTTAACTTTTAATTGGCATAGAATGCTAGAAGTTTCGATATTTGTGTACTTAGGCTGGCTATATGTGTCGATTTATTTGGGCTTAACAAAAACGGTATAGGTAAAAAACATGCACATTACAAATCTATTATCGTGTTGGAAATTGTATGCATACAAAATAAGGAAAAATATTGCAATTTTCTCATTATTAACAATACTATATATTGAGGTTATGTAATATAGCAACACAATTTATTGACAATCGATTAGAACAACCGATTCATACTTGTGTTAACTTCGTTAAATTATATTCATGGTATATAATTAAAAAAATTTGTATCTTTATCATAGTAATAGTAGTTGTTACATTTCTATTTGTAATTTTAAATTTTTTATCAATGTGCAATTTTAGCATAAGGTAAAATAAAATATACATTTTCTTATGATACATATGTACAGTTTTTCATTTAAAATTTGTGATCAGATGATTTTATTTGATTAATATTGATTTTATTAACACAATGTGTTCAAGCACTCTTAATAATTAAAATGGTTTTTGATACATAATAATTTTCCCACGGCGGGGTGAAAGCACTAGTGCATAGATACACCAAATATCTGAAAGGCCGAAAACTACCTTGTTTATAAAAAAAAAATCAGCATTCGCAACAATAGAAATGTAACAACTGCATATGCTACTTTATGAAATCAATAAGAAAATATTAAAATAAAGTAAAATTTAAAATATGTTTAATTGTGTTGGAAGAAACTGAAATAGAATTAATATTTACTTCAGTATAAAATATTATATAACTTTATAGCTTATACTCGACTTAACTAATATTTACCATATTTCTTCCATAGATTCACATTGATCACATCTACTTCTTAATGCAAACTTTGATTTATAAAATTGGATACTTAGAACTAGTAAAATGTTGCTTGGATTTGATTTGTGTATCATTAACACCTGATTTTTCAATATATAATTTTCATCTTATTTATTGATATTGGTATTGTTGAAAATGATTTTTTTCACTATGTTGTTTTTAACATTTTCTTCGGCTTGGTATTTTGGTAGTCGAAAGTTCTCAACTTTAAACCCCATAGTTTTCATACGGATATATATATATATGATTCTCATTGCTCCTTACAGTAATTTGATTTGCGATTGCTTTTATGAATATCAGTCCTGCTTTTGTACTCATTATCTAGCAAATTGTTACGAATTTTCGTGATTCGTCTATTCGTACGCAAAAACTTGCAGAGTAGAATAAGTCGAGAGATCGAAAACAACAGCTGCACTTGCAAATTTTACTGAAAAACAGCTGAGGGCATTTAATCGATATAAAGAAGTTTTTTAAAGCTTTTATAAAAAGTTAATTGCACGAAAACGCTAAAACACGAAAGTTCGGCACAATTGCTATTAGATCTTAACGGATAGTGAGTACGAAAATAGTTGTAAGGGAGTTACGCAATATTACGATCGAAAATTAGATTACTTATCTGTCGAATAAAGAATATCGGATCGATACCTTCGAAAGTAAGCGAGTCGAAATTTTCAGCTCTTACTATGAGGAAGTACAACAATAAATATTTAAATGTTAAAATAGAAGTAAGAAAAATTAAAATTGAGCACAAAATGTCAATTGATATTAAAACATTATTAAAACTTCTTTCGGATTCGTTAAATAATTTCGTTTACTTAACTACATAATTAAAATCAGTTTTTCATCGTTAAAAACGTTTGCATTATATTGTGTATTTATTAATTACTTATAGTTGTCTCAAATCCCCACCCGCTTACTGTTGCTAGTTTGTGAATGAAATTCATTTCGAGCAAAGAGCTGATTCGCTTTTATTATCATGCCGAATTTCGATAAGTGTGTACGTTAAGGAAGGTAACGATTCGATGTTCTCAATTTTACGTGTTGTTTATTCTCCTCCCTGACTATTCAGAACTAATACCCTGTTGTACGCAATTATGTCTCTTTATGCAAAGTACATGACCTTCTTCGTGTCGGCATGTACCGTTATAGCACGTGCCATTGCACCAGGCGTACGATCTTCTGAGCAACCGCTTTGATGAGATCCTTCACCCGAATCATGCTCCTTTTCAACTAAATGGTATCTAGAATAAAAACAAAAATAGTTATACTTCTTATAATAAACCAATGAAATAAAAATTTTAACCTAATCAATTTAAACATCAAGGTCCAAAGACAACAAAGACCATTTTTTCAATGATCCACTTGATGACTGCTCAATATGTATGATTTAAGATTGTTAAATATTTTTAAAATTAATTTTACATACAAAGTAATGTAAATTTGAATTTTGTGATAATTCGCTAAAAAAAAAGGATGAAAATTCCTACCTGGCTCTAAATGCTACTAAATGGGCATAATATGCGGGTGCTGGTATCGATACGGAGCGTGTACACCTTACATAAGTGTGACACAATTGATATGTCAAGCATTGGAGTTCATCTGAATCAAAGTGATTGTCATCCCACAGTACATGATAATGTGAAGGTCTACTTGTACCCTATAAATTGAACATTTGTTTATTAATATATTCACAGATTATGTTAGATGGTACCATACCTGTATTCCTTGATGACTGCATAGATAAAAGTCGAACTCGGTCGGATGTGTAATACCAACATCGACTGTTGTGCCAGCTGGTATGTTGCCAGACTTACCGCTTTGCTCTTTTTTCTCAGCACAGAAGAGACGTGTATGATGTCGCTTTTGTACGACAATAAATGTTATACCCGGGCGGTATTCTGCCTCCAATTTTATGCAAGCCTCACGTATAGCAGTCAACTCATGCTGCAACACGTGGGGAAATTGGCCTTCGGAGACACCGTCGCGATATAGAATAATACGGTGAGGCTTATAACCACCAGTAGATTTATAGAACATGATAAGCAGTTCACGTACCATACTGCTTAGCTCTTGTATAATCTCTTGACGATGTTGTTGTACACGTACTGTAGCAGCATATCGAGATGGATGGGCGTCCATTGAACCAACCACAGCGGCAATAGACGGTTTCTTATTATCACCAGCTGGGGGGTGAGTGACATCTGCGCCCAGGAAGATAACTGGTTCATTGAAGACCTTCGGGCGTATTGATGGTACTAAAATGGAATTGATACCACCTAATTTCACATTAATTTTTAGGCATAGATTGGACAAGGTCTGTGGAGACGTCTTGTTTACGTTCTTTGCTTGTACACACTGTGTGGCCATACCCAACACTGTATCGCCAACGCGTTTTACCTCAGCTGTAAGTTCAATAGTATATAAAAGAATATACAATAATTCAATTTTTTTTTAATTTGTCTTCGCTTTTTTTAATTACCGTAAACAGGAGTTTTTCCTGGCAGCACAACTACCACTAGCTGTAGAGCATTGAATGAGTTTTTCAAGTATCTAAACATAGGCTCAACTTGATCTGGACCGGTTGCGTATTTACAGAAGCATGGCTGACCAATTATAGGCATTCCGGCATCGTTCGAAATCTTCTGCAGTTGTTGAGTAAAATTACGCAAAGCATCTTCACGTACAGTTCTTTGTGGTGCAAAACAAGCAATGGCCCAAACACGAATTTCCACTCCAGTGAAAAACTGCTTACCGCGCATATCCCAAACACCCTGATTTGGCGAAGCCAAACTAACTTTATTTTGGGGTGGGAAAAGTTGCTGTTTTGGGGGGAAAGAAAAAATTTTCAATAGCAAAATATACTTATTTCAGGCCTTTTGTTAATTACATATATAGTATGTTTCTGATGAAGCATGCCTAATGCTCAATCTTTTACATTTAAGAAGTGTATACTATTTCGAGATAAGAGGGATGCATGTACATGGCTTAACTTGAGTAGTGTTAGAAGAATGAAGAGGTATTAATATCCTCCACTGAGAGGCGACTGTATTAAAAAAAATAAATAAATAAAAAAAAAAAAACTTGCTGCCTCTTAACTGCTCTTATTTAGTTACTGTATTTCAAATAAGTAGTGCCAATATATATAACGGCGCACTCATACTATAGTTAATGAAATTTGCACTGCACGTCTTACCAGAAACATAAAATCTTAAAAAATTTATCTCATTGTTGTAATAATAACACCCGTAAGTATAACTCACTTGACCAGTCATGCTTGATACACGCCCACCATATTGCAATTTAGGTGGTGGTAATACACGTCCACGTACTTCCATCATAGAGTTGGAAATAGTCAAGCCGAACTCCTGAACGTAGGAATCGTTGTTAAAGTCAGCACGCTTTACCAAATTGTTAATTTCGCGTTCACGATCAGGAGCAGAGCGAGCTGTGGCTTTAATCATGGTCGATGTCTGCATATCTGTCAGTTTTTTGATACAACGTTGACCGGCGACAATGTTGCACACTTCTAATGGCAAATAAGTGTGCTTATGCTCCTGTCCTACTTGCAAGCAAGGTAAATGTGGATAACGCAATTTCATACGATACTTATCTAAGAAGTACTTGGCTACCGTACACTCCACGGTTTGTCCATTTTCCAGTTGTAGAGGAAACCTAAACCAAAATCAAATAAAATACATATATAGTATCTTCTCTATATATTGATGTACTTTAGCCACTCACGATTGCATTTGAGCTGGACGACGAGTAACATTGCATACACGATATTTGCGACGCATAGCTCCACAATGGGTTATCTCGATTTTTAACCCTTTAATTTCCTTCGTGAATTTGACGCGCTGGGAATCTGTGAGGGGTTTACGTTGCTCATTAATATCGCGGATATCGAGCACTTCACACATGAAATCTATTACGGGTTGCGCTTTATAAAAAGCCGTTGCCGATACTGTGAAAGAAAAATGTTATCAAACAAATAAGAAAAAACTACATTAGAGGATTTGAATGTTATACATGCGACTGCTACGGTGGAGGGAAAAAGCTTAGGTGAATGAGAATCTGTACATTTTCCGTTTTGCTTGATATTACTATAAACATTATTTTATGTATAAATATATCGTTTTGCTGAATTGTGGTCACGATCAAGACGTTTTAAAAAGTGCATTTTTTTCGACATTGCTTCCGTTACCAAACATTTTCAAATGTCGATATTGTTTGTTTGCCAAAAATTTTTAACAGACAGACAGACGCGAATAAATCAAGTTATCTCGTCAAGCTTTGAAACCTTATAACAATTAATAATCTTTCTGTACACAATGCAACAGTCGCATATAAACTATATTTATAAATATGATTTTCGACGATACGTACCATCTATATTTAACATCATTTTCCATTGGGATGGACGTACACTTTGATGGAAACCAAACCAAACTTCTCGGCCACCGCCCAAAGGATGATAATAACCATCTGGTGAGCTAAAGAAACTACGACCCACAGGTGTATAAGTCATGCTCGGCAAATGACGCATTACCACGTCTAAAGCAAGAATCGCGTCATATGGTATCTGACGTGTTCGTCCCTCTAAAGCTTCTTCTAAATTGAAAAGCGATACTTGAGCCATCCATTTAATCGTTACACGGAAAATGCGGTCTTTTCCTTCGCCAGGGAGGGTTACTTCTAATTCCAAACGATCATTGCCTATTGGCAAGGGGTCGCGAGTGTATAAATTATTGCGACCGTCAAAAACTGGTTTTAGGACACCAAATATCTTGCTGTATGCATGCACCATGGTCTCGATGATCTCCCGATTAACTTTACGCGGACACTTATCCGGTTGAATATTAATGTCGTAGTGGTGGACATACCCACGCGGCATAGACACCTGAAAATGATTGGCGCGCAAAACGATTGGTCGTCCTTCTCGACCTAAATTGGGCCTACGTGGGCACGTAAATACTGGCAGTTCAGGTTGCGTGGTAGGTGAAGCGGCAGCTGCCGCTCCCAATGGCGAGGCAACTGCGGATGCTTGTGTGGCGAGACCTGCAGCACCTGCACCGCCCACAGTTGCGCCACCAACGGCTACATTTTGGGCGCTCGGGCTGGTTACGGCGGTGGGATTCACTGATGAACCGGTAGCTGGTGGTGCTATGATTAAATAGAGAAGCCATGTATTATTAATTACACATGCATACATACATACACTAATAAATCTAAGAACTTAAACAAATCAGTACAAAAATAATACAAACAAAAGCAAAATACATACATTCATACACATATGTATCTACATATTTATGTATTTATGAGTATATATGTATGAAGTCAAACTAAGGAAATGAAAAGTAATATAATGCAGAAAAACAAATTTATAATTATATGTTAGTATAAACTTCAGGCAGAGTTGCGTTTGGTTAGTATGAAAGTCTTAATAATGAAATGTGCTAGATACATTGTTACCCAAGGATCAAAACATAGGAGGTTACGACAAGAACAAAATCATATGTTTAATGAAGAAGTTATCCCAATTTTGTGGGTTGCAGAAATTTTTAAAATAAATTTGCATAATTTATCCTACCTATAAACACTCACTTTATTCTTCTGTAATCATACAATTTACTCCGGTATACTTTATACCGAATTTACCATTACCGATCTCGCTCTTACACAGATTGATCGTATACAAGTGCTTAATATATACATATGTAAAAAGAAAGTAACATCTCATCAAAAAAAAAAAAAAGAAAAGAAAAATTACTATATATAATTTATATTTTGTATTTTCTTTTGTATGAAACAAATTTCCCTATATTTGTACAGAAATATATAGTTTTAAACAAAAAATTCTGTTTTTTGGTATTATCAATTTCAAGTCTTGCCCACTGTATGCATGACAAAGTTGATTTGGTTGTTGTTGCTGTTGTAACCACAAAAATATTCCCAAAGTACTTTTTTGGGAATGTTGCGTGAGTGACAGTCCTTGGTCGGATAAAAATCCGGGTCGTTCGTGGTCGTTGAATCCCTAACCCGCAGGGGGCAAGTTGATTTGGTGCAACTGTTGATTTAATTTATTTTGACAAAAAGATGAAAACTAAAATAAAAAAAAGGAAGTTTTTTTTTCATTCCAAGACCATACAATGTTTATGTATGACCACCTAACACACCCGCATTATCCCGGCAATAGACTTTCAATATCAATTGTAATACACTTACCACGGAGTTTTCGTATAATAAATCTTAATTTTTTTATTTCAAACAGAATTTTTTTTATAGAAAAAATGGATAACGACTTAAGTTATTTTAAAATCAAAAACCCGTCCATAAAGAAATATTTGTACGAAGTACTTTAGTACCATTTGCCTTGTATTTTTAAGTGAATTACATAGATTTGGTAACATTGAAAATAAAAATACGGATTTCGTTTCAATAATATATACTTCATTGATGTCACTTTTTTATAATTTGAGCATGGATCTAGAAAAGAGGGGAAATACGAGACATTTGTTAAACTCAGGGTATGAAGTGAGCATAGCAGTTCGACGACTGAAGTCGATTACCATTATCGACGTCCTGTCAAATTCTCTATACAATAAAGTAAAATCGATTTGATGGAACTAAAATTTTCAGAGTAATGATATCAGGTGAGAGCGATTTGACTTACTTTGAAAAAGTCCATAATTATTAAGTGATGTAGTGAAATTGACTAACTTATTTCATAAAAATTTAATGCAAATTGGAGAAAAAGTTTTTCTATGGTGATACTTTATCGATTAAGACGGTATATGACGACATTGGCATAGTTCAGCGAATGAAGAGAAAACGACTACGCTGATTGGGTCATGTCGTCGGAATGGATGAAAGCGCTCCAGCTTTGAGAGTATTCGATGCCGTGCCCACTGGTGGAAGCAGAGGAAGAAGAAGACCTCCACTCCATTCGAAGAATCAAGTATAAGCGACATGGTTTCATTTGGTAATTAAGGTGAATGGTACGCTGTAATCGCGTAAGCGGTGCCTACACCGACGAAGAAGAAAACGACTTTTTTGCTCAAAATTTTTTTTTTTTTTTTGGATATTTCCACTTACTACATATGATTTTAAATATCAGTTGGGAAGTTTTTTAGGCAAGAATTAAAATTTTAACTAATGTGTAAATAACCACAGGAATACTTTGTCGAGTTCTATGGAAATGGTCGTATTTAAACGCCACGGAAACAGCAGTATTGCCGTCCGTTAAAGTTCTCTAAGTGAAGTTGAACTCCAACTATGGCATTTTCCGAAAAAAATCAGGGAGTTTTTGAAATACATATGTATGTATGCTACATCGGCACACATCCTCTCGCAATCCTCTTTGAATAATTTTCGCATTTATACCTTTTTTTGTTGTTTTCTACTATTTCTGATGTTGTTGTACTGTAAATATTGCGGGACTGACAGTCCTTGGCCGGATAAAAATCCGGTATAAAGACACGACTGTCGCGGAAACTTTAGGATTGAAATTCTTGAACCCCTAACCTGCAGGGAGCTCCACTACTCTCTGTCGTTTTTGTCGGCGCAGCGTAATTCATGTCCGATTGGCAGAACACTTGCCTATTTTTCATATGGTGCTAATTAATTTGACTTTAGAGGCAACTGTTTGAAGGAGCTTCGAAAAAAATGAATTAAAATATATGATAAATTCAGCTATAATTGAGAAAGCCGAATAGCTCTGGATAACTTGTACACAGGTTATGATTGGTGCACCATGTAAACTATTTGAGTCCTTATGACTCTAAGTGCTGTGCCAAGCCCGATGTATTGGTGGGCAAGGTGACGTCCCTAAGTTATGTGTTTTATAGTTTCCTGCTTCACTATTTATGATATGTTAAGAGTGTTATCGTACCTTTATCTCTATCGGCTGAGATTGGTGTACTTGGCACGATCAAATATAGGCGAGTCTTCGCTGTTTACCATAGCAGCGTTGGACAGTGAAGCTACCTGGTAGCGAGATATTACGCTAACTCAAACTCATTAAATATGTATATTATGAGTACACCCATAAGTACTTATTAGTAATTAGTAATTAAATATTGTTAGAGATTCCAGCTGAAAAACAATTTAATTAAATGAAGGAATTGTAGAGGTTTCTTACAAAAACTTTTTTGCTTTCCACAAATCTGAATACTTCAAGATATAGAAAACTACGATTTCAGTAAAAATTAACTTAAAATGTTATCTTTTTTTATGTACATATACTACAAATACTAATAATATTTTTTTGTTAGTAAAATTAAGCAAACAAATTTTTACCAATAGTGCACAATAATTTGGTTATCAGTTATAAGATTACATTACTACCGGAAATACTAGGTAAGGAAAAATATAATGTAATGAGTGATAGGAGATAAAACATGAAAGTTTAAATTCTGTGAGTACGAGCAAACAATGAAAATAACGAATGTTTTTCATCAGACAACTTAAACAAAAAAGTAATTAGTTTTAAAATTTACGAATTTTATAATTTTTCAATTCAATTTACATGTGAGGGGGTCAAAGCTTGTCTGCGATTGAGTGGGGCTCTGAGGCCGCGGGGGCGAAGGAGTCCATTGTGATTCTATAATTAAAAAGAAAAGAATACGAAAAATAAAAATATAATTTAGTTGTAAAAATAAAAAAGTGCATAAAAAATAGATAAGTGTTTATCCAATTTTCCATTTATTTGAAAATTAGGCAGATTAAATAGAAAGAGAAAAAGACGGATTATAAAATTAAGACACTAGTCCAATAAATATACAAATCTGCCTAGGAAATATATTTATAAGGTGTTTCAGAAAAAAAATCCTAAAAACAAATGCTTAAAACTTAAATCTAATTTTGGAAATTATACAAATCTATGTAACAGAAATAAAATAGTAAAACAGAAAGGGCATAATTTAAAAGTGTGAAATAATTGGGACTATAAACGTTGGAAATTTCAAAATACTTTAAAATTATTGCCATAAAGGTGCATAAATATAGCTCCTCATGAAGATCCCAAGATAAGAAGGAAGTAAAAAATTAAAAGCATCTGTTTCCTCAAAGGCTGAAAAAAGGCCAAAGAAAAGTGTAAACCTTATAAAATATTTGATTTTTACACAAACAATGAATACCAGCTTATCGCATACACCCCGCACTTATCCTCATATAAATTACTTTATTTATAAATTGGGCTGACATCGATCTTAAACAAGTGGCTCGCTTTATATGTGTTTTCATTTTCATTCAATATTGCCTGGCTCAACGTGGCTATGCCCTGCAGCAACCAGGTTCAAATAAAAGCTAATTCAAACGATTTAGGAACCACGACTTAAGGGAATGTCCGACCGATATCCGAAAGATGCAGTGCAACGAATAAGGACGGAAGTGAGTAGGTAGATATTTATTCCGAATTAAATAAGGACGTTGTAATCGAAGATGCCTTTTATAAGCATCTGTCTCCGCAAAAATTGGGCAAATATTTTGGATCTGATAAAGTTTGAAATATGGTAGTACCATAGTACTACCGTGTGCCGTCTGGATAACAAGACATCAATGTTTTTGCTTTTAACTGCAAAGGAATTCCTTAAAGTAGTTTTCTGGTCCTTCCACTATAAAGACGCAAGTGTCGCCTCCCACTACACCGAGAAGGACTAACAAACAATAGGCACATACATATATTTATGTAGATATCTACACTTTTTACCGCCAAAATTAACCGTCCATGCTACCAAAAAATTAAAATTTCAAATATTCACAGTAAAATGATTTTCGGTCGACCTCCTCCTCCAATTTATGGAATATGTCTTGCTTCAATCTTCACAATTAGTCGCTTTTGGCGCGTATCGCCTTGCACTTGTGTATGAACACAAATCAATCGGAGCGCAGAACACATCTTAACTTATTCTTTCTTAAAACAATAAAGTGCGTCTTGTAAATAATAATAACTGAACATTGAAATGTAGTAAGTGTTTAAAAAAAATATTTCGATTTTTGGTACGATGCTAGATTTCTTATTTTATCCTTGACATCGATAGAATTGTATATTTAAAAATACAATATGCATTAATATTAAAACAGTAAATGTATAAAAATTTAAAACTTACGTTGTCCGTGTGGATACATTTTTAATAATTTCCTTTAAGTTTTTATGATTTTGTTTTATTTTAAAAAATTTAAAATGAGTTTTATTGTTATTGAGTTGCTATTTATATAGATAATGCAGACGCAATTTGATTTGTTTTTAATATTATTGATTTTATTTCAGCGCAAATGCTTATATTGCTAAATAAATTTTCAGCCTTCTTGCTATCACTTAAATGTTGGAATTCGTTTGGTTCTTTTTAAATGTTACACACATGTATGTATGTATTTATTGATGTTTAATCAAATATAGCTGCCTCATTTGCAGTTTGGTATTTACTGGTGTATGTAATTATGTATTTTGAGATGACGTTTTGTGTTGAGAACTACATAAATATTCACACTATTTAATTAACCACTTTAACACACACTTTAAAGTTTTTGTTGAACTACAAACTCCGCTGTTTGTATCAATCTAGAACACAATCTCAGGCACAATATGCATTAAATATATATTTAATAATATGTATATTTAATTTAGTTATTTCACTCAATCGTGTTTTCTCGTTTTTTTGTAAGTAAAAATGCTTTGGGAATCGTTAGCTTGTTTATACTGGGTGAAGGCTGGCACACATCTACTTTGTTCGTAACTGTGAAGTAGGAATACATATGTATATGTCCATATGTATTATTAATACGTCTAACGTTATACCTTAAATGGCAGGTAGCTACGAAACGGAACACAGTTTAAGTTCAACTTTTGAGATGTTATGGCTTGGTTTATTGACCTCTGCTGCTGTTCTATTGCTGCATATAATTTTTATTCCCGTATCAAAGATTTGCCTGCTGCTGCTTCCTATTGTGGGGCTCCTTTGATTCTAACACACGAACACACCGACCGACTGAAGACGTAAAAATGTGCTCTATTAATTTCATCGACTAATTTTTGAATTTCGAACAATTTTTACTCTCAAAATTCATACGCAACAGCTTTATTACCGTGTTCATTAAACTTTTTCTGTATTTTTACCAACTTTGCCCTCCAATCATTATGCAAAAAATTTTGTTGAAAATTTCAGCAGCAGCAGTCGAAACAAATTTTCACGATTCTCAACGTTCTTTCTTCATTCGACTTTTCTTAGTGCACTACCTCACAATTTTATATTGCAAAACAAGTGGTGTGAGTGAAACGGATACATGCTCTACATTGTGCTCAGGTAGTTTTCTCTTTTGAACACCTTAGCATCTTTTGTAAGTGTGAGTGCATTTTTCTATACGTATACGTTTTTGTGTACGAAAGTATACTCGAATTATTTCGAAATACCAAGGGTTGCACCAACCGAAATGTGTTGCCATTTCACACCTCTGTCTACACGTCTCTTCAAAAAACTATTACTCTGCGCCATCTTATGTGCAAATGATTTTCCGAAATATATGTTTCTATATCTTTAATTTTTGGAACAACTCTTTCATCAAAATGATTTGAGAACAAAGCAACGAAGTTTTATCCAGATGAAATAATTATTTATTACTTGTTAATAAATTATCCTTAATAAAAAAATTTATTAACTGCCGCCAAATATTTATTAAGTCGTGTGATGTGATAAAGAATCAATCATTATACAAATTAAATTAATTAAATACAATATTGTTTAACAAAAATGTATCAGAAATCGAAAAAAAAGTGAAATAAAACCCCGTTTCATCGTTCAGCGGTGGAAGAGATCATATGAAAGTCAGGATGGACTATATGAAGTGAGGGAGGAGTGCCGGAAGACATAAAACATGACCACGCGGATTGTGGACAATCCCCGAAAACTTAATCTCAAATTTGAACCTTTTTTTATATTAGTGACCAGATACTTCCAGAGAACGTCAAATAACAAGAAAGACCGATTGCGGACAGCATGTAGACTGCCAGAATTGACGAAAGAAATAAAAGACTATTTCATCACTGCCGCCAGAAATTGACTGTGTTTGTCAACATTTCTATGCAAGATATTAATAAATAAAAAAGTAATTGTCTCCCGAATATCATTATTCTATAAATAATTTATCAGTCTCTGGTAGTTCGCTATTAACTAGCGGTGAAATAGTCTCTTACTAATATCGTATAGAGGTGAAATAGTTTCTAAGCAATAGATGCAACAAATGGCAATCGGCACGCCTGACCCTTCTCTTTAATATAGGTTCTCTGATACTTCTTAATTAATGCAAAAAAAATTATCAATTTAAGACTAGAAGCTGATTACTGAGTACCTGGTTAAGAATAAATAACTTAAATATTTACTAAACATCCTTTACCAAAAGTTGTGAACGTAATTTTGGTCGAACGGTTGAGCATACATAAGACGCAACGATACAATAGGGTTTCGCGATTTTGTATTTGAAAAACATTTAATGGATTTTATTTTCGCAAACTTACAAAGTCATGAATACAAGGCCCAAAACATCGCAGCAGCTAACGTTCAATGTTGCAAGCTTACAGTTTGAATTGCTGAATTAAAAGTTAATCAATGTAAACCACACTTTATTCGGAATGCATAGTTTGAGTTCCACTGTTTAAGGAGAAATTGCATCCCTGTCGATTTTTGATAGCAAATGTCACATTAGTAAAAAAAAAAAGTTACAAGATCAGAAATTTAATTTGTTCCCAATTTTGTAATATTTAAACAAAAATATGTCTATTCCTTTTAGTGGAGCTTTAAGGCGATCAAATGGCATAATTTCAGCGATAAGCAAGGAATTGAAAAGTGTCAATTTAAAAGGAGTTAAGAGAATAACTGTTATATTTGATCCATTTGCCGAGAATGTCCGACCTACAAGGTTAGTACCGGGATAAAATGTGCGTTTGTGAATTTGGAGAACACTTTATGCCTCAATATTTTGTATTCAGTGTAATGATGTCAAATTGAAATTTTCTTTATTTTGTGCCATGCGCAGTATGTATATTAAAATGTCAAATAAGTTATGTAGTAGAATGTGAACTTCGAGACTTTTCATTTTCATGCATATTTTCAATCAAAGCGATAAGCAAGCAAGTACGTAAAGCAGTTGCAAAATATAAAAAGATACAAATTAGGTCACTTACCATAAACTTTGCCAATTATTCGAACAGCCGTGTTTAGTTGCAGTGTAGTGCCCAAATCTGAATAAGCGATTGGTAATGTGTGGAGCTGTGCTGGTCCTCCCGGAGCCAGCTCCCGCTCCGTGGACATTTTCGTCGGTGTCGGCGTCAGCTTTAGGCCTTTGCTTTTCCAATTTCAAAAACTAAATTGGTATAATCTGAAAAAAAAAAAAACAAATATTGGGCTTACACATTGTGGGATAGTATTTTTATTACATCAGCGTCATTCTATTAATATTACATTATTTTATTATTACTTATTTGTAATATTCATTTTCTTTTTTTCTCCCTTTTAGAGATTTTTTGTCTCTGTTGTCAACACCTAAAATATCTCTAACCAATCCTAATTGTGTCATAAAAACGGATGTAGTTTGCAATCGCCAACCTTCTGAAGTGAAGTTCTCTTTGATAGACTCTGCTCAAGGCATATTTTAATAAAGTTAATATTATGAATCTTTTTTAACTAAACTCTTTCTTACAGAAAAAGCACAAGTAAAAGAAGTACGTCTTTTAAGCAGTAACTTGAGTACGTTAGAACTCTTACAACTTCTTAACAAGCACGTCTCGGTGTTGGCACCGGTCGAAGAAATTACTTCAAAGGTAACCACCAAAGCAGAAAAACAGAAATTATCGGGTGGTGCTGGTGCTAAAAGAGCGACAAAGAAGAAATAAATCGAAAAACTCATCTATACTAAATAAGAGTTGTTAATATAGAGTTTATCCTCCTTTTAAATACAAGTAATAAGCATAATGGTTAAAAAACACAAGGGTACTTTGGCCGTGATTGAAAAGCTGTACGAAGATATACCAGCTTTTACTGACATTTTCACCGAAGAATCGTTTTACATGTTCGCATTTTGTTTCGTATGCGCTACCATTTTAGTAACATTTATCTTATCGAGATTTATTACTTTAAAACCAGTTGAAATCTAAAAAATTATATGTATATAATATTAAAAACTTTGCCCACGATGAGCATCTCGCTCTATCGCGGAATAAAATCGTTAATGTGAAATCTAAGATCAATGTATTTTTATATTGCTTCTAGGATAAAGTATTTGTCATAAGGTAACCAATGATATATAATATTGAAAGGGATAGTTGATAAAAATAGCAACAAGTGATACTTTATCTCGTATTGTATTTTATGTATTGTGCCATACTCATGCTGAGAAACTATATCGACGCTTAGCTTTACATATCCAAAGAATTTAAGAATATACATAAATTAATTATGAATTATAGAAATGGAGCATGTACATAATCAAATACACACATTTATCGGGAAGACAATATATGTATGTACATTCGAAAAAGTTTTGAAACTCTTAACGCCTTTCCCACTTTATATATTTCTAAAGATGTTTCATAGACAGTTGTTCACCCATAATCTCGGCATCTCGGCATTCTTTTATTACTAGCTTTCTTGGTGACATTCGATATTTATTATAAATGCCAGCGTTAGTAATCAATTTTTGTAGTTGTTATGAAACAACAAAAAAAACTTTGCTCAGTTAAACAATTCTATTTTTTATGACGTTTTCGTTACTCAACATTTGAAATACGTAGGGTAAAAGGACACTTAACACTTTTTTTTTGCCTGCATGCATATATGTATATCGAAATCGAAATCGAAAATCCATACATATATAAATATTTTTTATTGCAAATGAATAGCAAATCTCAAAAATAATATATGTATATAAGATACATATGTATGAATGTACGTGTATGTGTGTTATATTTATTATTATTTTGATTTCTTTACGAAGATGATCACATTGATAGAAATTCGACATTTGTATCCATTGCATACTACTTTCTTTTTCTGTCACATTTGATTTGATAGTAAATACAACAGCTTTTGGAACAATGCCTGGATGTTCATGCCTCGACACATTTTCTTAATTATTTATTAGAAGCTCTAGCTTATTATACAATGGAGGTACACCAAGCAAGTCCTTTTAATAAACAAATAATAGTGCTATTCAAATATACGATGCTATTGACATAGTTCAGCTACACTGGCTAGGTCATGTCTTCCACTCTAGCTTTGAAAGTATTCGTTGCAGTATCCGCTGTTATAAGCAGAGGAAGAGGAAGACCTCCACTCCGTTGGAAGGATGAGGTGGAGAGCGACTGGTTTCACTTGGCATTTCCAACTGGCGCCAAACAGGAAATGAATGGCACAATGTTATGAATTCGGCTATAATTGTGTAAGCGGTGTCGCCGCCATTAAAAAAGAAGAAGATGAAGAAAAATCCGGTATGGTGGAGCAACTTAATTTGAAGACGTGAAAACAGCCATAATAAAGTATTCCCCAACAATTCAAAAAAATCTTTTACAGCTGCAAAGTTTGATTTTGGTTAGATTATTAGGTATCAGCAGAGCATAACTTGCTACACTCAATCACTTTCTTTCCACTACTTCCACTACTTTATTTATTAAACAAAAGAATACTTCAAATTTAAGTTGAAAGCTAAGAATTGCGAGTTGTAAACAATTTGAGGAAAATAAATTACGTTAAAAGCTTGATATTGATCCAAATTGAGTAGAATATGCGCACTTACATAAAAACTTGTATTTTTCTGCAAAGGAAAAAAAATCCGAAATAACAAAGATGGTATTAGGTATACAGGTTGCAGGAATGGTAGTAAGTATTTCCGACGAGCGATTCCAAATAGAAAGTGAAAAGTAGAAAATGAACAAAACGCTTACATAAGTACATACATATGTACATGGTCAAATATACAACTATGCTGAGTGTGTGAATGCTACTACATATTTAAGCAGTAAATAAATACATATATTTATAAAAGTGCTTTTTCAAGGGAAAGTGAGAATGAGAGTGAAACTTCGTCAAAAATAAATGAATGGAGTGCACACCCTTGGGGTTTATTTGGATTTTTAGGATGAATATACATATGTACGTACATACAAACATTCTTGATTTAGTGATAGCACTATTATGTTCAACTAACTATATATCTATATATGTACCACTGAATTGATTCTTGGCGGTGAACACAGAGAACACCGGTTTTTTCTAAGTCAACTCCGAACAGCTGATTGATTTTTATAAAGCTTTTTATTTCATATCAAGTATACATATGTACAACCAGAGAGATATTGGTCTGGTCAGGATTCTAACCCTTAATCGCGGCCGCACCAGCATTTAAAAAGTTATTCGTAATTCGTTGTCGATTTTTGAATGCATCCACCGTCTGTGGATCTAAAACTACGGGTGACTCTATTCATAGAAAACATATCAAACTGAAGTTTGTTTTCTTCATTTGTAGTAAAAATTAGTCCGACAAGCCCAAGCAAAGTGATCTCGAGTGATTCGAACTTTAATGAAAAAAACTGAATCTCAAAGTTAGTTTAAAATATTATTTATAAATATTACATTGAAATTACTGTCCATTTTTCTATTTGTATGTGCACACATCATTGACAAACTTGTTTGAACTACACTGCGTATAAGTAATTTGATTTTGACATGCATACGCGTATATGCGGGCATAGTGGAGTAATTAGGTGAAGTGAATTTTTTAATTTTTTGTTCCGATTTGGATCTTTAAAAAAGTTTACAACGTAGCTTGCACGTGTTTCGTTTCGGTACGAAATATCACAATTGCGCTTATTGGGTGCAAATTTTACTGCCTCACCGAATGCGGTATAATAATAATTGGTAACAAAGGATTGAAAGGATTGTTTATTGTAACGGAAAATAGAGTGGAACAGCTCAAGCTCGAGCAAAAATCCAATAGAACAAGTTAGCGCAACTCGAACCAGTAATATCATAAAAATGCAAATGTTTGAAATTGCTATTGTAAACAATATTTAAAATATTTGTTTTTTATATGCATACATATCTATTTACATATGTATATATATATGTAGATTTTGTGTGATTTTAAATTGTAATTAGTGAAGCCGGAACGGCTGAGCTATTGAGAAGGCTTGAATATTGGTCCCACCAACAACCAAAAATTATACACAATTAATTTACTTTTTCTCATCCGTGGATGTTCTTTCAATAATCACACTTTATTAAGAAAAATGTTAAGTTTTTTTTATTATTTGCACATCAGTAGGATATAGTCTTATTGGATCAATATTATGATAATACAAAATTGATTTTCCTACCCCACGTTAATTGATGTACACAAATATGAATATGAATGTTTGTAGGCACATATATACATACATACATACATGTATACAAGGTTGGAGTGTGTAAGCATGTACTTAATCCTATAGCTATTTATTGTCTATACGAATATAAGTTTTAATTGCGCTAAAATCTCTGAAACGGAATCAAACAGAGCTGAAACATAAATCATAAATACATCTTTAAAATATATATATATATATTTACATTTTTTTTATGATGAGCCTCTTTGACTAGTTTTGTGATCCGGCATTATTTATTTAACATTGGTTATCCCGCCTTTGCCTACCACATTGAAATCTGACTTGGAGTACAGACAATAATAAAAGGGAGTAGAAAGTCGAGCAGAAAAGTAATTCTAAAAAAGAATATCAAAAGTGCGACAAAGAGAAGGCAGTTAAATATGTACATATTCAAGAGAAATTTCTACTTCTACTGATGGAGAAAGTGGCGCTGTCGCAAATAGGGAATGTTGGGGAAGGACACCACTTGTAAGCTTTGTTGAGGTTGTCACTTAGTTACATACATACATACATATTTGTATATAAATATATGCATATAAACGCAGACTTATACCCTGCATAGTAATTTTGACCATATGGTCCATTTGCAGTAGTCCAATAGGTACTCATCTGCAGTGTACTATTGGAACAACTGCCGACTCCCTCATGCTTGCTAGCGCAATAAGTCTACAGAAAATGTTAGAAAATTAAATTGAATCAATTTCGTTTCTTCGGTGAGTCCTGCTGGTACATAGAAATTTGATATATAAATAGACCAAAGAGCAAATTTAAATATGTTATATATTTATTAGCAATAAATTATTAATATTAATTTAAAATTATATTCTAAATATTAATAACTTCCCCAAAGCCGATTGAATTCGAAAGAAAAAAAAATGTTCGAATGTATTTTTTTTTGTTGAACTCCCTGCATTACTCGAATGTTATGCGGATGTGGTTCAGCTCTAGGACATTAATTTAACTACGTTTATTGTAGGTATTATGGTTAATTTTGGGTCACTCTATTGTCTGCGTGGATTATATATTTCACTCGTGTATGGAGTAGTCGTATTGTTTGCAAGGTAAAGAGTATATATGTACATATACATATATGCATCTGTTCAGGGTTGTGATGTAAGTATGCATTTGTATACATAACGTCTCCAATATAAAAGGAACACAACCTTTCCCAAACCACATTGGTGTGGGCCATTCTACATGTGGCTGAGTATGAATATTCGCGCTCAGAGTACCTTGTCAAAACGAAAGGACGCAGGAAACAACAGAGAAAAATTCTGGTGGTTTGAAAGAGATAACTATATGAAGATTGGTGGTTTGTCTGCTCCTTCGCTCATAAAAATGAAAACAACGCAATAATAACAAAGTATACATACCTACATACATATATATGTTAATATATCTGATAAACCAACAAATTTATTTTACTCAGTTTTAAGGATTTGAAAGAAAGTAATAGTTTTAGCTAAATGTAAAAACAAATAGTCTCCTATATAAAACAAATGATAATAAAATGATATAATTTTACCATTTGCCATAATATATTTTACATAAAAATAAGAGCTTGTTATTCAGAAACACTCACACACAAAAAAATATAAACTAATTTTAAATAACACTGTCGTTGAAGTAAATAAATGCATATATAAGCTCTGGACACGATATAAAAAAATAACCAGTTAGGTCAAGAGAGTATTTCGAATCTGCTAGTAGATTAATGTCTAAATAATAACCATTCTCTTTAGCCGGCATAACTATTTGGTGTTACCTACTTTATCATAAATATTTATTTATCCTGCTTCACATATCGAGCGTATACTGTATGTAGAATTATGTATGTATATAAAAAAATAGCAACTGCAACTATAAATTTTTCACGGTCGCCCTTTTCGGAGATTCTTTTCCTGCCTAAAATGAGTTTTCGCTACATTGTGGTAATGACTCTTTCGGATAATTATGTTACTGGTATTTTATACAATAATACTGAACTTACCTTGTTGATTGTAAATGAATTTTATAGTTGTTAGCTTATTGTTTAGCTGTTATTCATATGTGTACGTATGAATGTACATAAGTGTTTGGTCAATGGAATTTTCTCCTTTTGTTGAAAACCAAATAGTGCTTTCAATTTTAGATAAGTCATTTACTCTTTTCAATTTTAATGTCGTATAATAAACAACGATTTTTGTTCGACACGATTTATAATGTATTTTCATACATTTTTAACAGTGTTTTTTTTTTCACAGTGTATCATTACAAAGTAGTAGTTTTTTTAAGTAAATATATTATCAAACAAAGTTTATATTAAGCTAAACGCTATTATATATTTCCTTTCGCCAAAACATTATTCACTTTAATCAGTTTTTCATAACACGAAATATGAAAGTGCATACATACATATGTGTTTCTGTATATATGGATGCACATACATATACGATTAAGCGCGACATTTTCTCACTTTTCTTTTTTATCAGATAAACTTACTTTTCACATTTAGAATGTTATTTTCAACTTAAAACAATAATCAATTTATTTGGTGCTTTATCAGAAATTTGCAACTTCAGTTATTGATGTTATAACTTCTTTATTGATAATTTTTGACTGCAGCAAATTTACGAAAAATAAACACATTTCATCAGCACAAGCGATAAAACGCAATTTCTCGTTTATTCCCTCTGGTAGCAGAGCAACGGCGACGGCAGCAGCTGTGACAGCAACATCAGTCGCTCCCCGCATTTGCTCAGTTGTTTTTTTTTCACTTGTGCTCCACCAACAAACAACAAAACGTAACAGAGGTCGCCGGGCCGGCTACCTAAACTTTGGATGGAGACAAGAGCCGATCTGCCACACGACAAACCGACGTACACATAAGCCTAAAGAGCATACGGGTATTTCGACCTGCAGGTGGGAAAGCAGGAAGATGAGTGGGTTGACTTTTTCCTGTCTCGGCTTTTCACTTTTGCTGTTTTCGTGATACTTTACTCTTCTCTGGTTTATTTTAATTTTCTTTTATTTAGGCATAAAGCAATATCTGCACAAGTAAATTATTTCATAAGTAGCGTATGTATATTATATTGCTCACTTACAGATTGCAAATTGCATAGTATAAATATATATACAAATGTACATACATATATATATGTATTTACATATACATATATGCATAATGCCAACTTTAAATAAACATTTATGAATAGCAGTTTCAGGTCTTGCACTTCGGGTTTCATGGGTATATTCGCTTTTACATTCAATATATGTGTGTACATATGCACATATGTATATAAGTAAATTAAAGTATTAATATGAACAAATACATATGTATGTAGTATGTATGCATATGCATTCTAATATATATAAATGCATATTTTATATTTACATACATGCATATGTACATACACATGCACTCTCTCTTGTTGAATCCAACTCTTCTCTTTATTATTTATTTGTGTTGACATGCGTTCGAGTAGTTAAAGTTATAGATTTTCATAAATATTTCGTTATACAAAATATATGACGAATATAAAAACGCGTATAAATGACCATTTCGAAGTGCAATTTTTTAGTCACATTCAAAGGGACCTTAAAAAATGATGACTCTTTGCAGTAAATACTCCGGTTTTCATATATGTACCTACATACATAGATACTTTTGTATGTATGTATATATGTGTTCTGATATTCTCGTTTTGTAATTTGCTTTTGATAAGAGCACTACGAGTATATTCAGCGGACCTAAACAATGTGCACACATGCATACATACGTATATTTGCACATAGATACACCACTTGTTGTTTTTATAAAAAAAAAATGCTATTCTGATTGCCGTATATGTATGTATCTCGCACGAATTCTGCCGCCGGAATTTGCGTCAATGACAAGCGACGGTTAAAAACAAATTGCGCCGAGCAGAAAGTTGTGCAGCCATAAATTGCAAGAGAAACAAATACAAATACGCCATATAAAATGACGATGTTGTGAACGACGAGGGCTGGAGAATTGGCAAAATGGCAAAAGCAAAAAATTATAGAAAGTGGCAAAAATAACAATGAACTTGACAGCCCTAGCTCTTAAGTTACGTTTATACTTCGCTAAATTAACAAAACTTTTGCTTATCAATATCATCTTAAATTGATGGGGTTTAAAGTGCTAAAGTTAAAATTTTATCACTAACTTTAGCCCATCATCATAGCGAAATGTTCTACTAAAATCATTTTGATTATTTGAAGATTTCTCACACATAGCGTTATATTCTTATTGGCTTTGTGATGAGTTAGCTTATGCTAAAAGTGCCGATTTAAACGGCCGTGGCCTCGCACTACCTTCGCTGCTCATGCTAAAAATGTAGAAAAGTTGACATTAACTATGCCATTTTCAAGCCACAAGGAATTGTTTTCTAGAAATAGAAGTTTATAGAAGTTTAATTAGTATGAGGATGCGTTTCAATATTTTAAATTTATCACTTCTCCTAATTCACCGAAACTGAAGCTATGGTTAAAGAAGAGTAAACGTACTAACGATTGTTCTAAATATTTTTTTAAATTAAGTTTTTATAAAAGTAATCAACCAATGTATTTTTTTTTTGCAAATCATATCCAACAAATTAATAAAGCTTGTTGTAAACGACAACAAAAATAAAACCTAATCGTCGCCAGACAAGAATAATAATCAAATTAGCGGTAAATAGTCTCAATCACAGCCAAGTTATGTGGAAAATGAGCTAGTTGTTGTCTTAAAAAGGTAGTGGGGTTTTGTATAACCGTTCTCGAAAGATTCAATTGAAGATGAAGATCGTTTCTATACGTTAGGAAAATTAATCCGGGCTTGGAACTTTAATCTTTCCAATGAGAGGTCCATAGACGCTTCGGTTGATAGCTTCAACTTAACTTTAAACTCATCAACATGACACTGTTAACGATTGTCAACTAAAACTGCGATTATAAAATTTTGATTTTCTACGAAATTTCGCTTAACCAAATGTCTTTAACTCTGAAATCTTAGCAAGCAACTTTGAAGTTTTTAAGAGATGACCGTTTAAACAAATAATTGGTGGTAGAGTGCTTAGTATTCATTTAAGGTGCGGAATTGGAAGTGATGAAATTTCTTTACGTTGGAATACGTCAAGAATATTTATATTGTTGCCAGTCGTACCACCGTACGTAAGACCAGGCTCAAATATATAGAAAATTATTTTTTAAATGCGACCATCGGCAGGGATTCTCAAGTAATCTGAGTATTTTTCGGACATCAAACAAAAGTTTCTCATAAAAATCCATCGGCCGATCGAACGTGAAGAATAAACTGTAGGTACTCCCAATTACCGGAAAAACGTCAAAAATTAAACGACAGTGACGTAACCGCCGAAAACCAATTGTTTCCGTAGCGGTGGTGCATAAGGAGTTTGAGATGCCGGTCCACAGTTCCTTATATAACAAACTACTGATCAGTGCTCTCAGTAAGCAGGTGCGCATGCCAAGTGAAAACCGTTCGACTATTTGTTGTGATAGTCTTTGTCTATGAAATCTTTACCGAGTAACGTGGTTGGATCAACTGTCATAGTCTAATATTACTTATGTGTTCAAAGCTCAAATTTCTTGAATACTACACGTAGAAATTATTTTATATAACTGACACTTATAACTTCATTTGATGTTTGGTTCTTTATAATATTTACTAAGCTTGCATTAATATAGTCTATTCTAATTGAAAATCCTACTGTATTTTTTCGCCAAAATTGTCTCAGGTATTTTTCGTTTAATTTTGGAGGCCTTGTAAATATCTGCAACCGCTCTCTCAAGAATAGCTCTTCATACTCTATGGGAGCTTTAAATAAATGAATCGTTCAAATATAATGAAATGGGTTAATAGTATATAAGTTGAAAAAGAATTACTCCTACCATTTTCACATTGCTAGAATGGAATTCATGTTGGTTTTCATAGGCTTCTTTCAGATATCTGGGGCAGTCGACAAAAGTGCAGTCGACAAAAAGCGGTTATTTGCGTCTGTTACACGAAGGAAGCATGCAAAAGACTAGTAATATTTAACAGGATTCAATTTGGAAACACTTGAAAGTTATATTATTTACCTATTACCTTTTAGTTGAGAGACGATCTCCTCAAATAGTTCTGGCGCTAATTTATATAAACTACCAAACTCAGTTGCATTCAAGTAGGAAGGCTCTTCACTTCTGAAAGCAAACTTCTATCCAAACACCCCAAAGCCAGTTTTGATTATTATTTTCTTTCCGAGTCGTAGAGATACTTTTTCCATAGCCTTTTTTGACAGATCACCCGTGAGTCGTGTCAAGCTGTTCTTTCTTTAATCAGTGTAGTTTGGCATTTTATTAAGGGGGGAACCTGATTTAGAACGCTGAAAATTGCATGATATTCGGCACAGTGTTTTAGGTTGCTTTACGTATGAAATGTTTCAAGTTCTTTTGAAATAGGTCATAGATACACAAATCTAGCAAAAAAATTTACTTTCGCTTTATTTGATTTGCGGCACTTCTCGCTCGAAGAGTCTATTTTGTGAACACGATAGTGATCTTAGTTTTCATCTGAAACATAAAACCGAATACTTTTTTTTGTAGCTTAGGAGTTGATATTCTATGTGGACCTAATATGTTAGAAGAAATGTATAAAATTATTCATTTTATGACTGTTTATAAAAAATTTTGCATTTTTCTGAAGAAGTTTTAAGATAATTTATTAAAAACAGTTAATAAAAAAAATGTTTTTTGTGATTTTTAGGTTCACATAGAAGTCTACACTATTAGCTGTAGAAAAAGGTATCACTTATGAAAATACGACAATTACAACTTTTTTAATTGTGTGCACAAAACAGAAAAACACTGTTTTGAGAAAATCGCGTTCAAAGTTCTCGCGCCCGCTTATCAGTCTCCTGAGCGCATTGTCTCTCAGAGGCCATTTCTGCGGAACGATTAGGAATATTTCTCTGAAATTTTGTCTAAATATTTCTGAATATATTTATAATCGAATGAGATAAGTTTAAAAAAATCGATTTTTTTACCTTCTAAACGCCAGATAGGCAATGCATTCCATATTTTTCATAATTAAATTTATTTTAAAGCCAATGCCGGAATACAATTTTATTTGTTATTTTATTATTTACCGTAGTCAAATTATCGTCTGGTTGAGAACTAATCGCCACTTAATGTTGGCCTTAACTGCAACTCAATTGACAGATACGCCTTAACCAGATATTATGAAAACGAAGTTTATGCTGCCTTCCGATTAAGTTTTGATTAAGTGCTTAACCGGAGATGGAGAAACGGCCCTCAGAAGTTAAAATTTGAAATAAATCATTTACCGCCGTTTTGCACAACTGCCGTTGTTGTGACCGTGCTCAACACATCTGTTCAATTTTCATCGCCTCATGCGTCAATGTGTCAAAACCGGTTGAAGCGTGGTTATGGCGTCCCTGGTGTCCCTATGGCGCCAAATCAATTCTCACCTTGAGACATACGACTGTCTGTTTTGGGAGGACCTCAATGAATTTAACGTTCGCTCATCCATCTGCCTGCATGTTCGGTTAGAGCCGCCATGCACCGATGAGCACCGCTGATATAATATATACTTTAGTGGCAACGCCCCTCAACCTAATAGCGTTTCATCCTTAAGTTCTACAATATGTACATGTGCACGTGGGTACAGTGCTGGAACGACTGTTCTCGGCAACCACATGGATCTGCCATCATACTCTGAGTAACCTGAGGAGTGGATGTTGTTTATTATAAACTATGAGCAGTCAACTGAACGTTGTGGATTTTCGGAACGAGAAAACCAGATTCGATTGCAAAAATTATTACTTGGAGCTTCCCTAGAAGCCGTCAGAGGGAAACTAATGATGCTGTCTACAATTCACCTGGCTGTTGATAAGTTACTCATGGTGTTCGGCCGACCTGATGTTATTCACAGCACACTGCAGCGCAAATTGAGACAAAGCCAGCAGTGGGAACGAATCGGCTGAATAATCAATCTCGCGTTAGGCGTTCAAAATTATGGAGCGGGGATGCAGGCATTGAATCCTCACAAATATCTGAATGATCCAATGCTCATTAATGAGCTTCTTTGAAAACTCCCAGGTCATATGAAGGTAGACTTGGGTCATCGGCGGATGGCTACATCTCGCAACGATATTGTTACATTTGACGAGTAGATATTTGCACTCGCATCATATGCAAGCCATAGTTATGCCACTTAGCGATGCAGCCTCTGTAAAAAAAAAGATAGAGCGAAGAGGTAATTGAGAAAGAGTCTCTATGCACGGCCAGATAAAACACGAAAGCGACTCCCCGATAGTATATAAAGAGAACATCACCTCTTCATTTTGCCCTCAGTGTAAAAAACACCATCACATCTCTGGATAACCGACAAAAACGACAAAAACTGCACCTGTTGATGGCCATCTTCGAACCTCTGGGCTTGATAGGACGTTTCCTGATAAAAGCCAAAATGATTTCACAAGATTTATGGCGATCGGGGTAGCTTGGGAGGAGCCTGCGTAATCAACCTTGCTATCAATTGGCAAGACATAGCAGCGATAATCAATTTCATATCTTCTTCGTATGTAGCTGTGGCCTTTTCGCTGTACGTGTTGGTGAAGTTCTAGAAGATTCAAAAGTCAACGATTGTAAATCGTAAAGCGCAATTTACAAGTTTTTCCATTTATTGATGGGTATGGAGTGCTAAGAGTGAAGGTTTGAATAGACGAAGCAAGAGAAGCACCAGCTGATTTTAAACGACCTATTATACTTCCCCGAAATAGTAGCATTACTCATCTCATCACAGAGTTCTATCATTGGGGGTTTCATCACCACCACAACGAAATAGTGGTAAATGAGATGAGGCAGGGATTTAGGGATCATTGTTGAGAAACGTCACCAGGTTCACATCGAGATTTCGGCATTACTATCCACCGGCCCGTTTCTGTTGGTGTTGGAGTTGAATCCTCTCAGTCAACGGCACTAATTTCAGAGAGATACCATATCATCTGATACAAATATCCAGTAGAAATTTATACCACCAGTATTACCACATTTGTGCGGCGACTGAGAGCGAATGGTTCGAGCCATTAAAAACGTAAAAATGGACAAAATTTCAAGAGGTACAATGCGTGGAGAAGTATTGAGAGCTGCCTTAGCAGACGTCGAAAATATCATTAACATGCGTCCGTTTCCCTCTTTCTTCCGTTGCTCCCGTTCTTCTTGGTTGTTCTAGCATACGAGAAAATGCCCTTCCGTCACTGTTAAATGAAAAAAGTCGTGCCACTGGTGACCTAGACGATGAATTCGTGAATATTTGCCTGAATTAACAATTGAGCGTCTTGTGGCTTGAGAGCCCACCAAATTCTATTGCCCCGAACAACGTTATTATAATTATTGATGAAAACGCGATACGAAGCATCTGGGCCAAAGGAAGTGCTAGATGTTATATGAAGTTTGAATGGCCAAGTAAAAAATGCCGTAGTAAAAACAGACAACGGACTGGTGACCCGCCCGGCAGTGAAATTGGCGCTCCTAGAACTTAGATCGGTGCACCGCACATCAGTTCATGAAGCTCACGGGGAGGAGATCGTTGGCGCGCAGCATTGAATTGAGCATTTAGAAGTTAATGTTTGAAATGTACATTAAAATGCGACTTTTTGGATGTGTGCATCGTTATTCCCCATACGAGTCACTCTTTTGTTAAATTTTTTAAAGAGCTTTCTGTTTCATTTGGTTGGTTAGCGGAGTTGGACTTGCATACATCCACGAGAAACAAAATTAATTTAGCGTTAACATATATATGTATACATATTATATTATTTGGAATATAAAATTTGAACTTATAAAACGTTCATAATAAGTGTTAAGCTCACAGCCCGCCAAAAATTTCCAAAAGATATATGGTCTGAGCCAGAACCTAAAAACAATTCAACAGAAACCTGAAAAAAACATCTACATATTTTGGCTTTTTCAAATATATTCAATTATGTGATCACAAATCAGTTGTTTCTCATACTTGCTAGTTTAAACTGGTTAAAATTTTCCCAGCACGAATTTACAACTTTCTCTGCAATTAAACAACAAAATTGCGGTCTCAATTCCATTTTTTTTAATGAGTTTTTAGCTCAAGGAGCACGATCCAATAAAATTTGCTAAAAACTATTACTGCCCATCTTATCAACGAACAGAACTATTCTTATTGAACTGCTTTACCATTACCCTGCTTTATCATTTATCATTAGAAAAATTAGATGCATTTTTGTTGGGCTTATTTATGTTTTTTGCTAAACCAACAGCGGGTGAATTTACTAACTTATTAAAATAAAAAGTTGCAGACTGAATATTTGTGGTCTTTCCGAAATTGAAAAATGCACTATGAAGAGCTCGAGGCATTGAATCCCCGTAATCCCACGTATACGACCCGCATAGAAACACCTCCGCCACACAAAGTGGCGGTGTTGATTTTGGTGCAACAATATCTGAAAGTGAAAAATGCTGCTACAGATGCAGGGGTAGCGTATCCTCTTCAAGCACGCAGAAATTTTTGTATGCTGCTTTTAAAATTGATACAATACCCTGATATGACATACAACGATCTTTACCATTTGCTTACATCTCCTCGATATAAGATTAATGCGCTGCATTTGGAAAGTTTTGAAAAGGCTATGTCTAATATCTTTACAATGGGTATAGAAACACTTTGTGACTTCGCTGAGCGCCAGAATTGGGATAACCTTTTATCGGAAGAACTGGGCGTTAGTCAATTCAGTATTGTAGGATTGTATATAAGACGAGTATGTGTTATACTAGAACGTATGTCGTTTCCCGAAATTATGGCGATGTATAAAAATATTTGCTTATATTATGAGAAAGGTTTGTTTGAGTCTTTAATATGTTTCGTAATAAATGTTAAATGCATATTTTATAGGAATCCGATCTCTGGCCATAGGACCACGAAGAGTTGGAAATACGGTATCCGGTGCCCAGGAAAATTTATTTCCACGACCGCTTGCAAGAACTACAGACGATCATGGTCATACATTAGAAGAATCGGCTTTAGATACTGATACCGTACATCAAGACCGAAACCCTCACAGTAAGTGGTCACCTAAGCAAGCTGATCTCTTCGTGGCACAACAATGCAAATTGCTAGAAAATAACGAGCTTCGAGCATTACCTCCGATTGAGCTGCAAAGCAAATTGAATGAAATAATTCAAGATAACCCGTTGAATTCGCAAGCATATTTCCTAGGCTATATGAATCAATTGAGACTGCGTGATTTTTATGGTGCAATGGATGCCCTACATCGTGCATTCGATAGAAGTCCTATACTGACAGCCACTCAATATGACCAAAAAGTAAGTTCTTAAGGAATGTGTTAAATAAATCTACAAAAATATTTTTTTTTTCTTCTATAGAGTTTCCAGTATTTCAGTGTTAACTTAGCTGTGCTGCATGCTGCTTTCAACCATCGTCGTGAAGCATTAAATGCACTCAAGGAGTGCATCATGTTAGCACAAGAATGCGGAGATAAACGCTGCCTTGACTTAGCAAATTCTTGGTATTGCTTACTGAATAGTAATAAAATAGATCCATTTGAGAAAAGTCTACCAGATATTCAAGACCCCGGTTTAGTACAATCGTTGTCACTAGCTATACAATACGTTGTAAAATTTGGAGCACAATGTGGGTATTTGCCTCTCGATCTCTTTGAGTTGCTTTTAAAGAGTGATGAATTGAATAATAAGAACTCAATAATAGAACACGCGTCCGATTCACTAGCGTTAAGGTCTGCACTTTGGTGTCTTTACGGGCGACATGAAATCTCATCACTATATTCACAACTGCTTTTGCAGCTGAAAAAAACGTGGGCGTTTGGAGATATTGGAAATTCAGAAAGTGTTAGCAAAGTACTCGCCAGCCTGTCTCTGTGGTTGAATGTGCAAGGGGAGCACCAAATGAGTGCGGTGGTACAAAGTCATGCGCGTAATCGATTCCCACGATATCCTAATGCACAAAATTGGATGATTAGCGAGTACCATATTATAATTCAACAATGTATTTATCGTTGCCGATGGCAGGAAGCAAATAAAGCTTGTAGTCAACTGTATTTATTGGATAAGAACGCTGGCAATCTACAACGTGCTGCAATTTATATCGCTAAGAGATATTTCAACACAGCCAGACGTGTTATTCATAAATTATTGCACAGTCCAAACTTGGATGTTTTGACGCAAGTACGATCGTTGGTGCTGCAAGCGTACTCTACTATTTGCGAAGATCGTGTGACATCTGAAACAGCTGAGTTTTTAATCCGTGCTTCAGTATTGGCAACATCCGCTTATATGGAATATGAACAAGCAGTTATAGACATGCTATTAGCCCAGGTTCTGTTGAAAATGAAAATGCCTCAAAAAGCTTTTCAAGCTGCTAAAAATTGTATGGAGAAAATATATGAAAATGGAGGCATTTATGATCGTGCGAAAATGGACTTTATTTTCGTGCGCTGCATGGTAGCAGCCAGCGAAAGTGATGAGCGTAAAAGAATTAATATCCTTAAAGGAATAAAGATATTAGAGCGGGCCATAGAATGGTTTAAAAAATTAGAAGCACATGCCAAAGTGTTAGACATATTTGTTTATCTGGCAAAAACGTTTCACCAACTTAGCCAACCAGAAGAACGAAACAAGTATGCTTCTAAATTTAAACACTACTATTCCGAGTACCCTATAGCAAGAGAATATCTAGGAATGGCATTCTAATTGTATATTTTAAATAAAAAAATTTTGCTGAAATAAATTAACAGTTTTAACTGCCATTCTCTTACTTAGTTTCTATCTAACTAAAGAATCCAACTAAGATTTAATGTACTTGTGAATCAATATAAGATATTTCTTTTTAGTTTAAGTCGGTTTGCGGAGGTCCGTTGTTTTTTTATTGCATTATAAAAATAAACAACAAATACATGGATTTTAATTTTTTGGGAAGGATATATATATTTTTGTTGTATCGTTTAAATATTATTGACGCATACTAAAATTGCTAACTATTACTTTTTATCAGATTTATTTTCTTCGCCGTCTTTCTGTTTTAAGGGTTCTTTATCTTTCTCGGTTTCCTTGGGTTTGGGAGTATCCATGATGGCTCCAGCTGGAAGTGCTTTTTCCAAAGCCTTAACAAACTCCTCCAAATTACCTGCATATGCGGCTGCAACGGCGTCTGGTGTTAGTTCAAATTGTGAGACCACAGGGCCAAGCTGTGCCGATTGAAGTGCATTAGAGAATAGAGAAAGTGCTTGTTGAAATTGTGGCGACGCGATTGTGTCTTTTATTTGCTGTTTTTTGCTTTCATCAGCGTCTTCACTTTCAGGCAGGTGTACGGATAAAGTTTTTGCACGTTCTGGATCAGATATTAATTGGTTAATAGCTTCAGAGCCTGTTAGAGCTGTCGATAGATCAACACTGAGTGTACGATTGGATGGGGCTATATTGCGAAATGTATTTTCAATAAAGAAGAAGAATTTTCAATGAATATCAAAATTGTTTTTTTAATACCAAATATAACTTACTTGACAATGCACTGGTAGCAGCAGCTCCGGCAGCACTTCTATTGTTACCCTTGCCTTTAGGTGCGGATGGTGTTTTTGGAGCGGTATTCGATTCTGGTGTAAGTAAATTACTGGCAGCATTACTGCTGCTATTACGTGCAGGTGTACGCGAGCTATTTTCCGATCGACTAAAATATTTATTTAGAATAAATGGTTTAACTTTATTGTAATAACTTAATTTCTTACTTCATCGATCCTAAAAGAGATGTTAACCCGCCCATTTGACCAACACCTCCAAACAATTGCATCAACTGTTGTTGCGACATATTGTTTAACATGTACTGTAAATCGCCATTATCGCTGTTATTGCGCTGCTGTGAAGGTGGGTTATTCATTAATTCGTTTACCCGACGACACAGTTCCTCGTCTTTCTCAACTTTGGGTTCTTGCATCCAGAAGAACATTCGACGAGAAGATGATTTGAACTTTAACACATAAACCCGCCCAGTCTTGCATTGATCAACACGTTTAAATTCGAAATCATCTGGAAACACAATTAAGTCATCCTCAACCTGAAAATTAAATAAATTAAGGTCAAAATTGATGGCTTAAGGTTGTTTCTTAGCTCACCTTGCCCGAGGTACGATCTTTCCAGCAAAAATGCATTAGCCCATCTTCGCTCTGCGTTAGATAAACTAAACCTTTTCGAGCATCGGGATGCACCATTTTGCCTATCATATTCATACGACCAGCGCGAAATTCCACTAAATTAGAGCTGCTGCTGGAGCTACCACCACCAATACCACTTTGCCGTCCAAACATTTTAACTTTGTGATTCAAACTGTGGAAATTAATTGTAGCACAACAAGAATTTAGAGTTTTAAAAAATATTTACCTGGAGCAAAATATTAACACAGAAAATAGTTTTCAACTTCTCACTGAATCGAATGACGAGCAAATTTTAATTGTCAATGGCATATGTCAAGAAAGTTGATTAGAAGAAATGGTCGGTAATACAGTTCTTTATCAACCAAAGAGGCTCCTCTACTGTTGAAATTTCATTTTTGCAAATCGTTTTGAAGCTCTACCAAAGAACGTATATTAACGAAGAACGTATATGAATATACGTTCTTTGATATTAATTAATAATAATATTTTTAATATACGTTCTTTGAATCAGTTATTAAGACCACTAAAGTCTTTAAAATGAGGATTAATGTTCGTTCTTATGTCAAACATATATTTTCACATTTGTCATAAAGGAAAAATTGATTCTTTCTTAATTGCCGTATGCATCGTCTTCATGATTATACTCGATTGAAGATTAGTACATGGTTTGTTAAAATTGGTGATTTGAATTCATAAAAAAACAATTATAAATCAATTTTTGGAAATTTTTTCTAAAACTCGACGTGGTAAAAGTCGAATTTTTTCAAAGTTTTCATTGCAGCTTGGGTATATTTTCCTTCGCATGTGAATGACAATTTTAATATGAAGAAGCACAATTTTGTCTCATCTCTGCTTTTCCCTTGCGAAGATTCACAGGCAATTTACTGGAGCGCTGCTGTTGAAGAATTAATATTAATTTAAATAACTTTAAAAAGAAGTAAAAATAGGCTTCAGTAAATTCCGGAAAACAGGTAAGTAATATAATTTAAGACTAAGAAAAATATTCGGTTTAAACTCTTGTTTTATTTTCACACGCTGGGATATGGCAAACGTGGATTGGTAAATCAGCGAATAAGAAGTAGAAAGAAACCACGAAAGGGAAAGCCGAGCAAGTATTTTTTGGTAGTATTTTTCACATTAAAATAGCCAATTTCAGCTTTGAGATTGATTGATTACACATGAGCTAAAGTTATTTATTGTATAAGTTGGTGCTTCAAAGTAAATTATACAGCTGAAATTACCGTGGTTGATATAGTAAATTTAACAACGTAAACTTATCAAAGTGAAAATGTCGAATGGCATAGGACAAATAATAAGTTAAAAAGACGAAGACAAGAAAACAAAATCGAATACACCCGCCTGACCGCCAGCGTGTCTATTGGCCATCAATAAAAAAGCAAAGCAAATTGTTAGCGAATATTAGAAGACAAAAACAATAAAAATAATACAGAATTGGGGAATTCAATTGATATTTTCGAAAGCTAATTAGATAGTTTGTTCAAAGTATAATTTATAACTCCTGTATAGGACCGTAGTGTGTTAAAAGGTAAGCTGCAACAAAGGCATGTTGAAATTATGATGATAAAGTGAAAAAGGGTTTACCTAACAATTTGAGATTCACAACTTTGTTGCTTTAAAATCTGATGTTCTTCCCCATAATCAATTTATTTATTTATTTATTATGTCTAAAGCGGTATCTCAGTGTCTAAAAAATAATTTTGACACCATGGGTTAGGGGTACGAGAATTTACTCGGTAAGGCATCTTTAACTTTATGCATATGTAACTGCAAATTTGCAAGGAAACCTAAATTATCATTAAAAGAACCATTATCATTTTTTTTATTTTAATAATATTTTAAAGCTTTTATATTTATTTATTTCATTTAGTATACTCTAATAAATATGTATGTACATACATTCATCATAAGTACAGAAAAATAAAAACAGTCAGCTTTTGTAATGATATAAAGATACAAGATATGAAACATATCTAAGAAGGAGTAGTTATTCTAAATATTCTTCTTTAGCTTTAGCAAATTTAAAGAAATTCATTTGTAACAGCTTTTGTGTTTATGAAATTATACCTCCAGCTACCTAGATAATTCCTACTGAGAACATTCATTATCCTTTCTCCGTTTTTTTTTTCAGAATTCTTACAAATAATCGATTAATTACATATTTCAAGACGAAACGTAGCAACAACAACTTAACAAAAATCGAATAAAGCATAACCGTATATATATATTATACATTACTATACATATATATAACATAAGTAACATAATGGACATAACTCCGGGTCGTGCTCCTTTTACTGAAGATGAAGATTATACACCGTTGCGCAAACCGAAATCGGCCACAAATACGCCAACACACGGTGCTTCTTCATTTAATTCACTAAATGCAAGCACCTCCGAGGGCTATGACCGTACTGTTTCTCCTTCTAAACTATCTCCGTTCGCTAAAGAGTTTGTACCACGTTTTGGCGGCAATGGCAGTAGTTCCGCAACTGGAACTCAGGAGCGGTTAGAACGCCATCAGCAACAGTACAATCAACAAACTTATCAACAATATCATCAGCAATCAACGCGACCACAACGTTATTCTAATGGTTACCAACAGAATCATCATCATAACCACAATCAACAGCAATATGGCCATCAAATCACTACCCTGACTGCATCTGTACAAGAACGTTTGAAAATTGGTTCCGGTAATAGTGGGAACAAAAATACTTCCAATAACTATTATCACCAAAACCAACAGCATCATCCCAGGCATAATAAGCATCATAATCAACAGTCCCACCAACACCATAATCAACATCACGGTGGTCACGGCCGTTACCAACGACACAATAATGCAGGCGCATCAACCTCAACTGCTGGCAGTGGAAAGACTAGTTCGGATGTAGAATCGATTGCTCTTGATTATTTGCAGACCGTGATTCAATGTCTGAATCAAAACCCCGGACAATTTGACACAATTGCTACACGTTTTCTTACAATATTTGAGGGCATGGAAAACAATCAATATGTCCTTTCGAATGCCATGGAAGACATATTTAATGAATCCATACAGAATGCAAACTTCCGCTACATGGGTGCCAAACTCTATAATCTTCTTCATATGCTCAACTTAAAGAAAGACTCACTTTTCCATACCTTGCTCAAATGCAAGCTGGACTATCACCAGCAAGAGGTTATGCAATACATGCAGACCAATCAGCAACAAAAAGTACGCGAAACAGCACTCTTCCTCGCTGAATTGTACATGCAGTTGCGAGGCGACGATACACGTATCCACCTAATTGCAGCAAATATCGTTTATTCACTTAAGCAACTACTCTCAAAGGAATCCTCAGACAATATACGCTGCATTTGTTTAACATTGAAATTAGCAGGCTATGACTTGACTGCTGACTGCCCAACTGAAATGCGTGAAATTATAGAACGTTTGGATGCTCTGAATGTCAAGTCCCCGGGAAAATATCCATTAGCAGCAAATGTTATATCCTTGCAGAAAAATAATTGGGGTCGAAAGGTAAATTCGCCAACAGCCGAAGTAGAAGCTGCAGTTGCGAAAGCACCCGAACCTTTACGTATGAGTGATGAACCCATTTTCTACGGTCCAGATGGCCGTGAATTGACGGCTGAAGAAACTGACTTTTTGACTGACGGAGCAGCAGCTCTACGTGGCAGTGGCTCTACAGATGAAGACGGCGAAATGGGCGATCTCGATATTGATCTTGACCCTGAAATGGATGAAGAAACTGAAAAAGCTTATAAAGAATTTTGTAAGCAAAATGCAAGCACATAGGTAAAGGTAACGCATACCGATAGATTAGTGATGTACAGTGGGTGGAAAAAACTGAATAATTTTCAAAAAACGTTGCAGGTTATTTCCGCCACATTCAAAGTTTCATCACATTCACACAAACTAAAATGATTTGTACACAAACGTATGAGCATAGTACCCTGCCAATGTATTGTTAAGTGTCTAGCAAACTCCAAGGCATTTTATGTAAAGTTAATGCTGTGAGATTCTGGAATTTTCGATTATATTTTTTTAGGGGATACTGTACATTTAGGCTGAAATTACAGTTGTCGCTGTGATGCTAAAGCAAAAAAGTTAATAAACATAAAACATAATGTATAACTAATTTAGAATTAAAAAAAAAATGGGTTGGAAGAGTTAATTTGGAGCGTGCATATAATAGGATAGTGAAGTATCATCCTTGTGTTTGTGTAAAGTAAACAGAACCGGTCTTAATTGTGATATTAAATGCATATATTTTTTTGGCGGCTAAATGTTTGCATTGATTCTCAATTTTCTTTAGAATTTGATTATTTTTAAATTAAAGCATATATTATACTCTGACATTGGGTGGAAGCCGATTTGCGTGTATTTTTTTGTTACATTAATTAAATACTAATGAGACTTTTCAAGTTTCTTCAAGTGTGTGTTGTACGAGTAAATTGTCCAAAGTACTGTAATATTAGATTTCTCAAGTAGAAATTGATTCCAATATTTTTGTTTTGTTTTCCCCCCTTTACAACCAATCGAATTCGATTTACCTTGTTTTTCCTTTTTCAAATTCTTAATGAAAAGGGAAGAAAAAACTGCACTTTTAATACCTCAAAATTGTTGTAGACTGACGAATGGGTGGCGAACGATCAACTGTAATTTCAGCGCTTTTAGTCTTCTTGAGCGTCAAAAACATATAGAGTTTAAAGAATGTCATTGTCTTTGTTCAGTCTATGTAACAATCGGTCTCCGCGCTTCCGCTTTTAGCCGATGACCAGGAGCCTATGTTCGTTAATCGCCACGTCGTGAACATGACTTAACATATTTTTTTAAATAAGTAATATTTTCCATTTGTTTCTGTATTGTATGTTCACACTATTCTCTTAAATTTTTATATAAGAAATTTGCGCACTTTATTTTAATATTGCTGTATTTTATTTATGCATGATATTGTAACAGCTGTACTCAAAATCCTGTTTTTTTTGTTAATATTGTATTTTACTCATTTTATTTCGATTGTAAAATGATTATGTAATACAATAAAAATATGAAAAGGGATAAAAAAAAACTATAAAATAATTAAAAACGAAAATTGTGAAAAAAAAATTAAATTAGTTGTAAAATAAAACAAAAAACGAAACAAAAAAATTGCATGAAAAAAACGAGATAAGCTTGTTTCATTAATATCTTGAAAACAATCTGTCTAGGACATTGTCTGGATAAATAAGAGCATTAACTGCTACAATATGCAGATCTTATATATGCTTGATTACGTAGGTTTCATGAGACTGCTTCGTCTATCCGACGATGTCATTCATATTAGGGTCATAATAATTTCGTTCAATACCTTCGTTTTTGTAGCGGTTACCTCAACTCGGTCTAGGAAGCCCGAATTCACCATCTGGGGGGATGATTGGATTCTGAGTATGCTATTAAGGTGTTTACGAACGCTCGATGAAAGGCTTTTAAAGTCTGCTGGTATGCCGTCCTATCCATTCCATTCACTCGTTGCTCATTCATTCTTAGATGCTGCGGCTGTTGTTGTTGTTATTATTATTATTTAGTGTTTAGAGTTTAGCCTGCTACAATATACAGACCTAAGTTGCGCCGCCAATATTACGCGAGTCTCTCGAGGCAGCTCGTCTTCGTCTGCTATGGGTGGTGATTTAAATCCGAGAACTCCATTCATAGGGAGGAAGTCTTTGAAGGTGTTAACTGATTTCCCAACAGGAATTGCTTGCACATCAAAACATTATGCTTCTTGACTCTTAGCATAGATGCTTCACTGCGCAAGTGATGCCCAGGGTGGTGTTTTGGCAAGCCCGTATCTTCTTCAACTAAGTCTCGTTCGTCCCCGGTGCCCAGATTGGTGCAGCATAGTTAACGAATATAACAGTTGAACAGTAATAGGAAGAGGACACAACCCTGAGGAGCTCCTAGTTTAATCTTCCTGAGTTTTGATGTTTGTCTTTGAAATTCTACTGATAATTAACGACCACTCAGGTAGCTCTTCATCCACCTCTTCAACCCCGGCGGTAATGAAGATCTTCTTCGTTCTTAGATCTTTATAGACAGTGAAGCAGTTGGTTTTTTACAAAAGAAAGTCTGATATTTTTAAAGCTCTTGGTGTCATTGGCACTTCATAATTAATAGTTTAATATTATATGTACATATAAAATATGGGCTTCTATAGGGCGTGCAGTCGATAAATTTGTTTGTTTTAACAAAGGCGCATTTTCACACTTCTAAGCGAAAAAATATTAGTCAACTCCTCGCGCAATGAATAATTTTATGCCATTAATCATTGGTTTCGCCAAAACTTCTTGGCCATCCTTATAATAGGTGTAGTTAGCAAGATGACATTTCGAACTAAAACAGCTTTTCTGACAGTTTAATGAAGATCAAAGATGGACACTAGCAAGGAGAAAATACGCTATATTTTAAAGTTTTTCTTCGATAAAGGCGAAAACGCAAGCCAGGCGGCTGATAATGTGAATAGCGTTTATGGTCCTGATACTGTTACATTTTGATGTAAAAGATGGTACACAGAGTGGAAGGCCCTTGTCGGAAGTCATGGACATTGTCGATAAAATCAAGGATATTGTCGATTCCGCCTTTCACGTAAGCACTGCTTCGATTGCCTAAAGTTTGCACAAAAAAACCGTTTGGAGGCATTTGAATAAGGCTGGATACATAAAGTAAAAATTCAAGTCTTCAATTTTTTGCAAATATAATGGATTTTTTCTTACTACACCGATATGTTAAACACATAAATGCATATTTTTCGTGCTTACCGAAAGTATTATATTAATATTTTAAATAATACCGTTATTGAAATAATACCATAGCAAAATAACGATCGAATGACAACCGATTCGAAGAGAAAATTTAAAATTCCAATTGAAGAGCGGTCAAAAGCAATCTGAAAATTAAAAATTGACAAAACAAAATGTATTTAACAGATATTGTCTCTACAACCTCCATAGCAGCTTTACAGTTTTGAAAATACATTATATTATGGGACATTAATTTTTAAATACTTTTTTTTAAATAAATTTATTCTAGTTAAATATCTCTCGTAGCTTAAAAACACACCCTTAGAGAGTGAAGAGAGCATAAACAAATACGAGTACTTTTAATTAATTCTCACCATGTTGTGCTTTCGTGGCAACAGTGTTGCATTTTGACACGAAAAATATGTACTAATATATAAGCAGAGTGCTTATTAATTGATATTAAAATTTTTAATATACAGGGTGCTCTATCTTTTATGTCGGTATGTAAACATTGAGTAACTTCGAGAAAGAACAACCAATTTCTAATAGTGATGTATTTTTATTCAATTTGGTTCCTTACATTTTTTTTTTGGATTGATTTCTTAAAATAATATCAATCCAGAGGCTGCCTCTTTTGCAATTAAAAAATTACTCCCTTTTTCTGCATTTGCCTTTTGCGTCGATTTCAGCACGGATCTTTGCCTTGAGCTCATTAATAGCTTGCGGCTGTTTGGCGTAATTCTTGTTTTTCAGATAACCCTACAAAAAGAAAGTCCGCGGGAAGGGGGAAGGGGGAAGGGGGGAAGGAGGGATTCAGGTGATCTGGGTGGTCAGTCAATGTCGCCACATTTTGATATCAGACATTTTTCCGATATGCACGACGAGTTTAAAGAATGGAAAGATTATTTTCGATGTAAAGTGCCACTATTTCAGCGCGTTGTTTGGGTGTGAAGCGAACCATGGCAAAAATTGTACTGAATTGACGTTTCTAAAAAATATCTGATCTAATCGCTCGGTTGGTAAATTTGAAGTTTATTCAGCGTTTACATATCGACATAAAAGATGGATCAGCCTATGTATAGTAAAACAAAATTTATTTATTTATTTCAAATTTGATATACATACATATGTATTTTGAATGGACTAAATATTGAATTGGATTTTTTTTATTATATTCTAAATTAACCAAAAATCGCAACTTAAGTACTTTTGAGTTACGAATCCTGATAAAGGAAACAAAATATTAGTTTTTTTTACTCAACCTATTACGAAACATTACCAAACTCAGTTTGTTTTTGAAGATTATAAAATTCGTTATAATAAAAATTATTCTATTGCCCGTAAGCATGTTTTCCTAGCAAAAAATGGTTTTCACGTGAAAATATGTCACTTCGTCATGTAAAATCTATTAGATGATAATACGAGGTGTGTTCCAAAAATATCGCGAATTTCTGTTTTTTCAAAAATTATTTATTTATTCGTGAATACTTATTTTGTACCCTTCAAAGTAATCCCCATGAGATATTATACACTTGTGTCAACGGTTTTTCCAATCTTCGAAGCACTTCAAAAAATCATTTATTTTTATCTTGTTCAGCTCCTCCTTCGATACCGTCTTTATCTCTTTAATCGTAGCGTAACGTCGTCCTTTCATGAGCCTCTTCAGTTTAGGCAACACGAAAAAGTCACAGGGGGTCAGATCTGGGGAATACGGTGACTGTGGCATCATTAGTGTGTTGTTTTTGGCCCACAAGCCACAAGCAACGATGTGTGAGCAGGGGCTTTATCGTGGTGCAAAAGCCAATTTTTGTTCTTCAACAAATCCCGGCGGATTGTTTCGCGCAAATTGCGCTTAACTTGCAGGTAATATTCCTTATTGACCGTTCTACCCTGTGGCAAGAACTCATAATGCACAACGCGCGTGCAATTAATTGAAGTGTTGTTGAAGTGCTCGGGCGTCCGGCACGCACTTCGTCGTTCACATCTTCTCGGCCTTCTGAGAACATTTTGTACCACCGATAAACGTTGCTTCGGTCCAAGGTAGCTTCTCCGTATGCCACAGTCAACATTCGGAATGCATCCCCGCACTTAGTTTCGTTTTTCACACAAAATTTGATACAGGTACCGCGTACAATATAAAAGGTATCCGATATATCAACGAAAACACCAAATGTTGGTGCGAACACATTTGACCCCAAAGTCCAAAAAACTCGTTTTCAAAGTGTTTTGATATCGAGCGGTCCGAATAAGGTATAAATACAATAAGTTAATGCGGGTCTCAACAACATGTACATATATTGGGATAGATGATTCCCGAGTAAACTTTTAGCTTTATTATTTTTAGAATTTGTACACAACGAGTATTATAGCTCCTTTGAAGAGTAGTTAGCAATTTTTTATTGATAAAAATAACAGTTTTGAAGCTGCTACAGCAGATCTCCAGAGACTCCTCCCAAAAAAGTTGTTTTGCGGGGGCCATTGTTTTTCTGAAGTTATTCATCTGAAATGAAAGAATCAAGCGGATTTCGTTAAAGTAATGTATAATCTAGTGATTAATCGAAGGAATACGCTAACAATATAAAAAAAATTCAATATTTCTCAAAAATTTAGATCTTGAATTGCGCATTAAGAAAACTTTTCATCGGTAATGAAAAAGTTTCGATTAAGCACAAGTAAATATTTTTATTTATTGTGGGGTGTAATGGGGTGTAGTCAAGCTTCTGGGTATGCTGTTACAGTTGCGAGGCTATACTCATTTCCTACTCTTGCGTCCACGTCGCGCACCCTGGAAACGTGAGCAACCCTTGTGCAAGATGCGATAACCAACCCGTGTGGAGCCTCGGGTCACGACTAATGAGAGAGACAGCTTCAGTGAGCCACTCCGACTTATTTGCTTTAAGGGTCTGCTGAAGTCTAATTGCAGCGTGTGTTCACCAGAGGAGGGGCTGCGAGCGGGCGTCGGTCTTGAAGCAAGCGGCTTCATATAAAAATGTGTAAAAAAAGACTTTAAACTTACTTGCCGAGCAAGGTTGTGCGCTGGGTTTGGGAGTCGCCACGTAGAAACCAGTCCCAATGAAAAATATAACAACGCCTCGGATGAGATACCCCCTTTCTGTTGACGACCCCCGCAAACGAATTAAGGATCACGATTTGAGGGCATGCACCTAGAATGTCCGGTCCCTTAATTGGGAAGGTGCCCAGCTGGTTGATGTCCTCGTAAGAATAAAGGCTGACATCACCGCCATCCAAGAAGTGCGATGGATGGGACAAGGACGACAGCGAGTAAGCTCTTGTGAAATTTACTATAACGGCCATAAAAAGGAGCGCAAATTTGGTGTTGGATTTGTGGGGGAGAGACTCCGTCGCCGAGTACTGACACTCAACCGGATGGATGAGCGTCCCGCCACAATCCGCATCAAAGTGAAATTTTTCAACTTATCGCTGATTTGCGCCCACGCCCCGAGGGAAGAGAAGAACGATTTGGCCAAAGATGCCTTTTATGAGCGCCTAGAGCATACTTACGAGCGCTGCCCCCGACACGACGTGAAAATCGTGCTTGGCCACTTTACTGCCAGGGTGGGCAAAGAAAGTTTCTTTGGTACAACTGTTGGACAATTCAGCCTTCACAACGAAACATCCCCTAATAGGTTGAGGCTGATCAGGGCCCGAAATATGGTTGTCTGTAGTACTAGATTCCAGCACAAAAAAATATATCAAGCTACTTGTCTTGATCATTGGACATGACTCCAATGTTCTTGACGTGCGTACACTCCGAAGACCCAGCATCGACTCGGACCATTATCTTGTTGCAGCAAAGATACGCATGCGCCTTTGTGTTTCGAAGAACCCCCCTCAACAAGCACAAGGAAAGTTCGACGTTGAAAAGCTTCTACTCGACTTGCACTCGTGCTCTCTGAGAGCACTCATCAGCACCTCGGTATACGGGACCTGTGGAACGGCAATTCAAGCTCTTTATGTACAGCTGCAAGCGAAACTGTTGGATTTCGAAAAGGTCGCAAAAATAGCTGAATGGGACCTTATTAGTGTGGCTTCAGTCCTGGTAAGTCAACCATTGACCAAATATTCACCATGCGCCAAATCTTGGAAAAGACCCGTGAAAAGAGCACCGATACACACCACCTCTTCGTCGATTTTAAAGCCGCCTTCGACAGCACGAATAGGAACTGCCTCTATGCCCTGCAAAATTTATACGGCTGTGTAAGCTGACGCTAGACAACACCAGAAGCGCAGTCAGAATTGGGAAGGTCCTCTCCGAGTCGTTCGATACCAAACGAGGCTTCAGACAGGGTGACTCCTTGTCGTGTGATTTCTTCAATTTGATGCTGCAGAGCTGAATAGAGAAGGTACTATTCTCTATAAGAGTGTACAACCACTGGCGTACGTCGATGATATTGACATTATCGGCCTCAATAACCGCGCCGTTAGTTCTGCTTTCTCCAGGCTTGATAAAGAATAGAAGCGAATGGGTCTGGTAGTGAACGAGGACAAGACGAAGTATCTCATGTCAGCAAACAAACAGTCATCGCTTTCGCGGCTTAGCTCTCGCGTCACTGTTGACAGTCATAATTTTGAAGTCGTAGATAATTTCGTCTATCTAGGAACCAGCATCAACACCAAAAATAATGTCAGCCTTGAAACTCAACGCAGAATCACTCTTTCCAACAGGTGCTCTTTTGTATTGAGTAGGCAATTGAAAAGTAAAGTCCTCTCTCGGCGAACGAAAACCAAACTCTACAAGTCCCTCACCGTTCTCATCCTGCTATATGGTGCGGAAGCATGGACGATGACAACATCGAATGAGTCGACGTTCGGAATTATTCGAGAGAAAGGTTTTGCGTAAAATTATGGTCCTTTGCGCATTGGCAACGGCGAATATCGCAGACGATGGAACGATGAGCTGTACGAGTTATACGGCGACATTGACATAGTTCTGCGAACCGATAAGCAGAGGCTACGCTGGCTAGGTCATGTGGTCCGGATGGATGCGAATACTCCAGTTTTGAAAGTTTTCGATGCAGTACCCGCCGGTGGAAGCAGAGGAAGACGAAGACCTCCACTCCGTGGAAAGACCAGGTAGATAAGGACCTGGCTGTACTTGGTATTTTGAATTGGCGCCAAACAGCACAAAAAAAGGAACGAATGGCGCAATGTTGTTAAATCGGCCAAAATCGCGTAAGCGGTGTCTGCGCCAGTAAAGTAAGTAAGTAAGTAAATATTTTTCAAAAGCCCGCGTAAAAATTTGAGACTAATCGTTCCCGGGAAATTTTGGTCACCGACTTCCAAAACATAGCTTTGAGAACCGGCTTACCGCTTTGAGCGTTAAAACGCACTAACTCATCATGAACGTTAATTCCAAAATGACTGCCTGTTATGATTTAACAGCACACTTCAATTTTAACGTTAAACTTTATCTGTTAACGACAGATTTTCCATTTCGGAAACGAAAAGAAATTTACTTTGACAATTACTGTAACGTTAATATATCGAAATGTTTCAACCGAAACGATGTTTCATTTAACGTGAAATTTATCATTAAGATGCAGCACTATTTAACAAAATAAGAAATCTTCGTGAATTTCAGGCACTTCCCAAGAAATCTTCAATGCGGTCTAAGGTGACAATATTAATCCAGATAGGAACCTGCAGACTGCACTGCTTAATCCATTATGTCTGTGTCATCGAACTATGTGAAAGTATAAACGAACTGATCAGATTATATTAGTGTGGCTGTATACCTGATTCGTAGAGGTCAAAATCTTGGGAAAGACTTGCCAGAAAGAGATCAACATATGCCACAGGCTTACAAGTATGAACAAGGATAAGACAAGATAATTACTGATCGGCCGTCATTTGATTAAGAGGTTATAGCTCGCCGATTATTATATTAATTACTCGGTAAATTCAAATATACTTCAAAAAGTGGTCAAAATTCTAAATATATTCAGTCGCTGACAACTCGCTTAGGATTCTATCAAAAAAAAAAAAAAAAAAAATACCAGTAACGGTGCAAAAGAACCGAAATATTTTTCATATACATACTGCATAAATAATGCACTGTGCGACGTAGTAGTAAATGCCTTCGTCTGTAGCAAACTTCAGTTAATTAATATTTCAATAAAGTGTAAAAATACATACATACACAGAAAATTGAAAATATTTTAAGAAAATGTATTTAGCCGGAATAAATTGAATACACTTACGCATCACGAAACACTTGTGCCCTTCAAAATGTAGCAAAACAATATCTCTTTACCAGTACAGATTTCTTTCAACCCTCTGGCACACTGGCAACCCAGCGAAGAGAACTTTGAGAAGAAAGAGTATGGACTTTCGCCAAAACCTCACCACCAAAACATTTGTGTATTGTATTTGCCACTGCATCGAAGTCAACAGAAAGTCAACTCGAATCAGTTCGAGTCTCTTGTTCGTACCGTTCGCTTGTGTTTCTAAAATAGAAATCCGTAAGATATTTTGGTGCTGCGCTATTATAATTCCATTAAGAAAAAACTGAATGAATTTTCAATATTACAAACACCTTCATATGTACATGCATATAAATGTATATACACATACACATTGCCATGTACATATGTGTGCGTAGGCATCAACTTGTTTTATATTTCTTCCGCGAAAATATATGAAAATGGTTTCAATTTTGTTTAAACAATTGTGTATGTAGACGCCATTGAAAAAAGCAAGTTTTTATTTTCAGGAGTTGAAAGAAAGAAATTCGATTTTCGAAGTGAAAATAAAGTGACGGAGGCAATATTTAGCACCACGAAGTAAGTGCGAAAGTGCGCGTTGCTAACGATAATTGAACACAAATTTTACTAAATTTTTGCATGCAAAAGGTTGGAAAAAAATTTGCTGTGAGGAAAAAGAATATTTTATAAAAAAAAATAAAAATAATTGTACAGTGTTGTAAGTCTAAGCGCCCAAAAGCAGGCATTAAAGCACTTAGATATCTTTGAAAGAAAAAAGTTTACGCGTCTGATTTAATTTCTTCTTATTATATATTTTTTATTTGAAACGAGCAACAGCACACAAGTAGTGTAAAGCAATACGAAGAAGAGACAACCCCAGCATTTCTCTCTCTCTCTCTTTATCCTGCCACCCAAAAGACAATTCAAATCAAATTCCGTTTTGTTATTATTGCCTTTACAATTGGTAAGAAGAGTTGGAACGTTAAAGGTGGTGCCTTTTAGACGAAAGGATAGCAACAGAAGTAATAGGTAAGTTCAAAACCAAAATTCGCGCATGTATGTGTGTGTATGTTGTAAATATAAAAGCAAGCAAGAGCGAGGTGGTCGATCTTTTTTTGCTTTTGCTGAACGTTGATACCATGGTAACTAAAAGTCAACACTAGAAATTTTTTGGTAGAAAAGTTTGAGGCGGTCAGCTTAAAAGTTTAGTGTTAATATTACCTGCCAATCTTTAATTTATTTAATTTATTACACGACAATTTAATATGTGCTCAGTTGATGAAAATGCTTGAATGTAGAAGTTATTTATTTCACTGAGAACTTTTTTAAATTTTGGCCACTTGCTGAAAAGCAACATTGCTGACGCCTACACTGGTATGGTAGCGTATTAGTCCAATTGCCATACCCCGCCCTACATCGTGCCTAGCCGAAAGGCATACAACAGAGCATAGAAAAGTATGTAGCAACGAAAGCGTGACACCAAATAAAACAGCAGCGACTCACTATGACTTCATACTTACGAATACAACTAAAAGCTAATATGCACATATACGTATGTACATATGTATGTATTTTAATGATACATTTTGCATACACACGCAATGGTATTTACACCAATTGGCAACTTTAAGGCGCTGGCTTTTCACACATTTATATATATATATACGTATACATGTATATGTATAATTGAAAAATATTAAAATATACATATGTATTTACTCACATGCAACTGTTCATACAAGTGAAGGTCTTTTATAAGTATGTCTGAGAGAGCGGGCTTTCAGCGTTTTAGCCATAAATTTGTTTTATTTATGACAGTCGTTTCCAGCTTATTGGAAACACGCCAAATATTCAACTACACGCTAGATTTTTTTTTACAACAAGTTACAAAAGTTACACTGGTGACTTCGTAGCAATGCGAGGAGATTAGGTATAGACAGTTTCAATATCATTAGGCTATCCTAAAGCCAAGGCTTTATCCACCTAAACTATGCAAAATAGAGTAGAGACTTACCTTACATATATTTGAAAAACTCAAATTATTGTGAGATCAGAACGCTTTGTTGAAATGCGTGTTGAAATTTCGTAGGTTCGTAGGTTTCGATCTCAAAAATTATTTAATTGATTCTTTTATCAACATGAGGAAAGTTATTGATACCGGCATGAAAAGAGCTGAGCTGATCTAACCACATCTGTCTGTCTAGCAGTCTGAATGTATTTTTGTTCTCGGAATGTTAGCGAGTACGGACGGCTAAGCAACTGATTGCTCACATAGGGCAAGATGATGACATAAAGAATTTAATTTTATAAATTCTACAAAATCTGCCGGAATTCCACCTTTCAGTCTATAACCTTCTAAGATGTAAGTTTGTTAGTCAGAAGCTATGCAGTGTTGATTACCATTCAACAAAGAAATTAATTGAGTTTCCGCTATTTAGGAGAATACCTATCGCCGAGTGGCTAGCATTGTGTACTAATATACGGAAGTTCAGGGCAAAGATCCGCACATTGCAGTCGCTCCTTTCGCAAGGAATGCCAAGCGATCCGAGTGAATTTATGCATGAAATAAGAGCCGTACGGAGGCAGCTTAGTATAAACTGCAGGTCCCTCCATTTGTTGGAAGTATCACCAAGGCACACACCACAAATTGGAAAACAAAATCAACCAAAAAATCCCTTCAGTGGCAAAGTGTACTTGTACATTCAAGAAGATATTGTTTTCATATTCAAAATATCAAATAAAAATATCCAATTTGTGAGCGTGACCTGTATACATATGTGACATACATATCTGCAATAATGCCCTAAAGAGTTGGCTGAATTTTGTTGAATTTTTAATTTAGTAATTATTAATGAGATTAAAATAAAGTTAAATTTATGAATTGCAGCACATACGCATGCACCCATTTATATAGTGTGTATGTAATAATTGCGCTGTAATGAATAATAAAAGAATATCAAACAAGTCAAAAACAAAATCAAAACCAACAACAACGAACGATCAAAGAAACAGAATACTATCAGGCAAAACAACATCACTTAGGCAGTGGCTGGTCTTCAACGTGCACTTATGTAAATATGTATATGTGAGAAGGAGAGAAAACAATTTGACAGCTTTTTGACTTTTGTCAACTAGTTTTTATATTCAATGTTGTACCCTCACAATACTTTTTGTCATGAAAGATGCTTACGTGCACGCACACATACAATCATATACAATCATACATAGATACATAGGTGTATGCATGAGTATCTATGTGTTTTCGCGCCTTATTGTTTCTTGTTTTTCTCTGCTGTTTTGTGTATTTCACCTTTTCGATTTGCTCTCTAACTCTCTCAGTGTGGTCTCTGAATCACGCCTTTTGACCACTTTTTCTCTTATAATACATTTATTTTTCATTTATTTTTTATTTTTATTTTTTTTCATACACATAAAAGTAAGCGTGAATGTGTATGTATGCGTATTTATTGTAATTGTTAATTCGGTAAATATAAATGTATCTTGTTGGTGGTTGGAGAAACGAGCTAAAAGTAGACACCATCAAAACATTCCAATTTGCTGTGCTGTTATTTTCGTTTCTTGACATCATCTTCGTCTCAATGTTGTTGTGCGATACAATTCCGGTTCTCAATATTGTTCCAATTGAGTTTATTCTTTGAAAATATCAACAAATATACGTATATATTTGTATTATTTTGAACATACATATATATGTGAGTATCTAATAGTTAATACTCAAGCGCAGCTTTCACACAGTTTTACTCCAACAATTGCCTAAAACTAGTCTTCAGTCTTAACTGGTTTGTATTTCAAAGACATAGTTAGTCTCCTATAAAATACAATAATTATTTATTTATTGCATTTTTATGTGGCAAAATCGTTTCGGCAAGATTTTGCCTCGTGGCTATATTGTTATTGTCTAGTTGAATTTTGAAGAAGAAGACACGTACGTGTATGTATGAGTACCGATATTTATTGAAGTTAAAGACATCATTTTCTACTTTTGAGGTTGCACTGTGGTATAATATTTGCCAAATTAATTATAAAAAATTAGAACATATTATTTTTAACAATGAATTAACAATTTAATTCATACAATTTTACGATAATACTTGCCTTTAAGGTTTGTTCTAAATTTAAGCATATTTTTACGCAAGGGAACCATGGAGAAGTTTTTTTTAAGCTCTATTGAGGATAAACTTTAATCCAAATTAAATGATTTTATAAACAATTAATGAAATTTTCTTTCATTAAACTCACAAGGATTCTGAGAGATACCGTGGAATTGAATTTTTTAACTTTAATTTTTTTTTCTTCATTTTCAAAACTAACTGTATCGGATTTGATTTTTCTTCGATTTTCTCAATTCCACTAGAATTTCTATCGCCTTTTTATTGTCGAGTTGGGAAACGAAATCAATTCCAAATGCATTTCTGAGCAACCCCGGTTTTGTCATAGACTTTCCCCACATTATGCTCTTTGCACAAACTTTTTATTTCACAGACCTTATAGCTTTGTATTGACACCTCGTTCTACACTCATTAGTTTTCTTATCTCAATTGGCAAATTTATATGCTCTTTTTATGTGCGCATAAATTGATTAAAAGTGTTGTTATGTATGTATGTATGTACATATGTATGTACTTATACATATTTTTCCAAATTGTTTGCCTTAACGAATTTTCTTCAAAACTTAATTTTCATAATTGAGCAATGTAGTAAGCTTCTGTTCATGCTGCTGCCCAATAAACACAACTGGTTAGCCAAGAACTCGAGACGAACTCCTCGAATTTGTTGTTGTTATGATCTCACAATGCGGGAATCGGTAACCCTCGAATTCTCCGGCGTGTTATCGTTGGCAATCCGAGAATGTTAACTTGCGTGGTTTGTAGGAGGTTCAATATTTTGATTTATTTTTGATTCATTTAAGGGAGTTGTTTTTTCAGTAATTTTTTGAAAGTGAATTATTCAGACAATAATGTACATATATATATAGTATATTTAAACTTCAAAAAAAAAAAAAAAAACAAAAAAAAATTCGTATTAAAAAATATTGGAATTTTCCAATGTTGTGATGAGTTTTCTGGAGCAGCTGAAGTCTAAACTCGTAAAACAATGCCGGTGATGGAGGTTGTACGATGCATCTGAAACAGTGGAACTAATTTTTTTTAAATTTTTATGAGTTGCTCTTTTGTATGAAATAAAATATACCAAAGAAATTGAAAAATACCAAATTTTTTCGAATTAAAAAAAAAATTAGTTAAAGTTGTAAAAAATTGTTCAAATAATTGTTTTCAAATAGAAGTTAATTTAACACTGAATCAGGGTTTTCTGAGACTTGTAAAAATGAAAACTCGAGAAAATGCGCCTCAAGGTTCTGCCCCAGCATTCGAAGCTGCTTGACGCTTGACCACTAAAACTGCTCCAGCTTCTGAAATATGCCCAATTGACCACTGAAATTTGGAATTAGTATAAATTTAGTATAGATTTAAGGAAAAAATGAATTTTTGAAGCCTCTAAAGCAGATTAAAGTTTCGTACAAATTAAACAATTTTCTTTTTAGTAACAGTAAAATGTTTCACGATGATATTTTGACCTGTTTCCTTATCTTTGTTTACCAAAAAGTGTATTTCTTGTATATATATTGACTACGAAAAGAGTAAAAACCTCTTTTGCCAACAGACTTACCCTTTGTCGAACTGGATTGGCGCAAAAGAACTCAATAATAACTAAAAAAATTGTAAGAATTTTACCCCACTCAAGGTATGGTACCTCTGCCACCTACGCACGCATCACAAATTGTTTGGGATGTTAACATTATCGCTCTTGTGTTTATTGGGTAATTCCATTTATAAATGCGTATGCATTTTGACCCACTTCACTGCTATACTAATTAGTCTAATAAGAAACATGCTAACTAATTTATGGCTAATGCATCTATCATATATGTATGTACATATGTACACGTATGTATGAACGTATGTTCGTATGCTATGTACAAAACCTTGACATAGAAATAGTAGTACCCA